CCTCTTCTGGCTGCTACCAGCGCTTTCAAGCGGCAAGCAAATCTTTGGGATAGATTTTTAGAGCTCAATCTGGAATAGCATTCCTGGCATCGGTCAGAACTTGTCCAATTTGGTTCAATTTTGTTGTAGACATGTAGGCCGTGAAGAACGATATTTTATTGCAATAAAACGCTATTGTGAGGCTCCACGTTTGATCCAATGAAGGGAGTTTTATCAATCAGTTCAAATGTTTTATATTCTTCATGTTTTAATTCTCAAAATTCTTTTTATCCACCCAAGTCAAAACCCTCTGATAGAGATTCCATTCCCCTACCACAAAGGTTGCAATTGGTGCTCGGACATTTAAGAAAAAAAAATATTTTTTAAAGATAATTTTCCAAGCTAATAAATCTCACGGCGAACTGAACTGAGTTGAGCGATGGTTTCAATTCTTTAAAAGAGAGATATTTCAGTTACTACTGGGAGATATTAAGTTGTAAATTTCTAGTTGGTGAAGTTTTATAACTAATGCATTTTTAACCCGAGGAATTGAATAACAAAAGACAAAACTGTCATATCATTTTATTACTTAAATGTTTATTTAGCTAATCCATCATTTTGGTAAGGTGAACCGAAACATTTCCAGGGACGATTTTGTACGTTGGTATGATTTAAATGGTAGGAGTGTTGGACAGAAAATAAATTCTAGCTGGTAATTGTTTGGCTGTATAAAAAGAATAATAATGCAACAGAAATACTGGATAACAAGGTTTTCACGTCTTAATTCATTGAGTGTATTTTATTTATTTCTGTTCACCATTCAGAAAAGGGCGTTTAATGAATGCAGTACCAATGGCAACCTTGTCAGTGATAAAAATATCGTATGTATTATTGCGTACATTTGGTCTTAATGTCTATTTTTCTCAGAGGAGAGGAAAGAGAAGTTTTTGACCTTCAACAATGTTTCAAGGACAGGTGTTTTTTCGTGATTATATCATTTGTTTTAAATTTCAGCAACAAAATGACAAACTGACAACTGAAAATTAGTTAACACCACTCTAGAAAAACTTGTCAAATTTTAATTAAATTGCACAATTCCCAATATACATGTATTGTAAGAAATGAAATTATCATTTGCTGACACGTTAGGAAAGCTGCTTTTCAATATTAAGGTACAATACCGATAATTTACTAGGTGTCCATAAAGTTGAATATAAAGTGCATTAATTTACTATCTGTCTTCTTTTAATAGGACGAGTTCCGCCTCCGATAGAAATCCAAACATTAATTAACATATTTGCACATTCTTATTTCTTTATTTCTTCACTTGAGTTTTTAACCATTTTTGTTTAATTAATTTTATTCATGGTCACTTATCGATTACTTCCTAATATGCAGTACAAATATTAAAGAGAGTCATTCTTATAAGAGTTATAACAGATATTCTAAGACATTCCAAATAGACAAAAATATACAGCTAAAACATTTCAACATTTCAAGTAAATTACTAGATCTTACATCTGCCATATTACATTACAGGTGTTGGCCACAAAAAAAAAAAAAAAAACTCATTTGTGGGTCTGGGGTGAATTAATTAGCTTACCTACTTGAGCCATTAAATTGAATTTTCATTTTGTAGCGTAATCTTTATACAGTATCACTGCCATTGCACATTAAGGCGTAGTTATCATCTTCTGCCTTTTTTAACATGCAAACGTTCTCTAACCTGAACCTGCTATTTCATATCTGCCATTTTTATTCATGTTCTACTCTAGAGTTAAACATTGCCAAACTACTGCTACACACGTTCAGATACCATTCTTCTGTAAAGGCACTGCTCTGGTGGACCATCACGTATAGATAACTTTAACTGTCAATGTGTAAGACCTCCTTATCCATTGTATTTTACAATCATCGAATGATTTTCCTTTGTAAAAATGATGATAAAATGTTGACCCCTAATTATATTAATACCGATACATATAAACCATATGTGAAAATACTTGAGTTAAACATAAATGTTGTCAAGATTGTCACGTTTTTGTACGTGTCTTTCCTTCATTTGACAGAAGTGAAAAATAAAGCAATCAAACTCACCACCCAAGTACTAGCCACAGATAGAGAGAGTTCATCTTCGATCTTCTTCACGGAAAATAATTCACGTCTGCCGCCTCTGCAGGACGGGTGAATTATACGTGTTGAAAATATACTACAGTGAATATATACACCCAGAATCTGTTCGTTATCCACGTTTCAGGACCTATTGTAATTATCTTTTATACCTTAATCAGCAAGGAAAAACATTTCAAAACTGCAATCGACGATGCATATGTAAAACGCTTCAAAGAAAAACCACAATGTGAATATTTAAGGTATTTTCCCCTTGACGTATCATCCACTATTAGGGCATGCTTCCAGTAAAACTATAAACTATTATTTGAGGTTGATTGATCCAACCCGCGGGGACTCTCGCTGAATTCCATCAGAATTACAGATAAACACTCCTCCATTTTTTTTCCAACTTACTCTCATAATCACCAACTGTTTCAGTTTGCCAGGAGTAGGCGTGTTAATCTTTTAATCTGACTTCATTCACAAGAGTCTCCGTGGATTTGAATCGATAAACACTGTACGTAGACCGATAGTTTCATCGGGAATGGGCCCTCTTTGTTTCAATAATTGGTATTAGCCGTGTTCACTTCTGTATGGATTCCGGTTTTTAGGAGTCGTCGATTGCAGTTTTGAAATGCCTCTGCTTGCTGATTAAGGTATAAACAAAGAACATTAATGAATGCGAAATATTTGTTAAGTAAAGAGGTCATATTTATTTTAATTAAAATTACAAATTGATGAATAAAATGTATTCAGATGAGTGTAAGGGCAGGAAGTTATCAAGTGAAGGTCCCATTTTCGTAAGACTCAACTTGTGTGAAAATTATAAGCGTATTTGGCAAAAGTGGAAAACGCAAGTTCATTGTAGGTTTAACTAACTGGTTAATTTCACAACCGAAAAGGGGATTTTCTCGTGACGAGGATAACGACTGTAAACTGCACCTGTATACACATATGATAGTTTAAAATCGTTAAAAATATGCAAGTTTTCGATCGTTTTTTTTTTTTTTTTTTTTTTTTTTTGAGAGACGTACACAAGTGCCCACAGACACGTTGCCTAATAAAACATGTTGAATATTTGATAGGCAAAGCAGAATGAAGGGTTTTTAATCGTGCAATACGTGTAAAAAAAACGCAAGAAAAGCACCCCTGGTTATTGATTTACTGCAAGATTATATATGATGGACAAGGATGCACCCGTTCCAGATCTTGTGTTGTGTTCAGAATAGAAGTCATCAAACTAAAAAAAACAATCTATGTCAGCGGTGATTCTCGCTAAGGCGCAGTCAATGTGACCAGTTTAATTGCCTGGTACGCCCTGCCGTAACTTGAAGTACTTGGGCAAAGTCGGGAAAATTTTGAGGTCTATGTTGTTGTTCATGTTGCTTTTCGAGCACACTAACCTCTTCACTGTAGCCTATCTCCATCGTGTCAAGTAGCTAGACACGATGGAGATAGGCTACAGCAAAGAGGTTAGTGTCAAGTTATCTCTGAAGCTCAGGGTGTTTGCGAGGGGGCGTGCCAGACAATTGAGCTGATTACATTGAATGCGTCTTCGCGAGAATCTCTGCTGAGATACATGTAGATCCATCCTACTAGTGCGACAACTTCTATTCTGAACACGGCCTTAGGGACCATTCCCAGACCATATCGTACTTGCTGTGGATCGATCTATCTCAGAGGGGATTCTTGCTAAATTGCTATCAGCTTTAGCGGTTTAAATGTCTGTCACACTTACTGGAGCTGCTTGAGTGTAATTACTGGGTAGATATCGTTAACCAGCTTCTGTAGGCGTTCCAGACATGATAGCCCCTCAAACTGAAAGCAATGTAATGAGAAGCCCCCCGGAGGTGGATCGATCCTGTTAGATCGATCTAGGCATGCGAACCAAGTCTTAGTGTCCAGGCTTTTGTCATGAGTATTTGATGGTAAAGATTTATTAATGTACGTGTACGCCTATCCAACACTTAACGATATACACCTCAGCGTCGGAAGGCCCGGTGATATTTGTTCATTAGCATCCAAAACATGTTGTTTTTACAAGAGTTATGGCAGACATTCTAACAATAGTGCAAATAGACTAGAATACACAGACATGGCATTTAAAAGAATTAAAAAAATAGATCTTACAACTGTAATATTTCATTACAGGTCTTTGAAGCAGAACAACTCATTTGTAGGTCTGACATGATTTAATTGATTTTCCTGCTACTACCTACTACTTCCTAATTTACTAAGAATGAGGAAATAAAATAAGACTCACTACAGACAAACGTTTTAGTTTTAATTGTAGTCGAGTAGCCAGAACTCTAACCCCGCAATTTTTTTTCCTTACAGAAATGCATCACTTGCCACAGGAAAAGCCAATTTTGCTTGGTTTCTCCTCCAAAGACATCGATGATTTTTCAAGATGACCGCCAATTCGTATGCAAAACCGGCAAACATCCACACATCTGGTTTAACCATTCAAATTCAATACTTCATATGTTAGGGAAAATAAATAGAAAGTGATGTGGACCTTTAAAAATAACGACTTATTTAGAACAAATCATAAACAAAATAATTTTTAAAAATTAACGTTCAAGAATTTGTTATAAACGACATGATTTCATCGAAAAAAGGACCTCTTTCTCTCAATCTCATTTAGGTAGAGATTGGGATATATTTATGTTTTAATTATCCTTCACTTTTTTGGTCTTCGTATAATGACAAAACTGGAATTCTTATTAGCAGTAGTCCTACAGTGCATGCTTGTCTGTCACCTCGCGGATGGTGGGGGGATAAAATAACAAATAGGAAACATTTCTATTTTGTTTAAAAGAGTATGTGATCTTTGCTGGTGTATTCAGCTGGTCACCTTTGACAGTATTCATTAAACTTATCTTGGTCTATATATTATTAAATATAATAGGTTTTTCATCTCTACATTTTATTTAGCAATGTAAAAAAATGTCCTTTACGTATGCGTCTTTCCCAGATGCCTACTTAACTTTTATATGTGCAAAATGTTCACATATTGTTTTTCAAAAACATTTTACACATATTTAGAAAGTGATCAAATATCTGTATTTTGATTTTAAAAAGACAAAATACAGTTTAGGGGTTAATATTGAAAGGTGCCTTCGAAGCAGCCACTGAACCAAGGGACTCTCGCATCGAGACAGCCATTATCAAACGGATCCAAAAGCAAGCACACAACATGCGAAAAATGATTGATCATAGGGAAGAGACAATGCTATCAGAAGTGAATTCTGCTTACGACAAAAATGAATTGCACCATGTCTCCTTACAAAGTGCCTGTGACTTTGCTCAGGAGCTTATCACTAATGGCACTGACTCTGATATCATGATTCATGCAAAACCTCTGATAGAAAGACTTGAAGTGATGGGGAAAACACCAGGTACACCAGCGCAGATATCCTACAGTCCTGGTGAGATATCTGCTGCCGGACTGGAAGCCATGTTAGGACAGGTGACGGTACAGTCACAACCTCCATTAGCTGGTCAGGAAACAAACCCAAGATTAGCGCTGCATACTCCAGTTTTCTTATGGAAGGCAAAGTGTGTCCATTCATTCAGTGCTAAGCTGAAAGATGACAAAGGAAGAATGTGCATAACTGGATTGGCCATTGATGAGCAATATACATACGTTGTGGATTCATATAGTCCTGACAAAATGAGAGGGAATGACAGAACAAAAGTATTCACAAATGAAGGTCAATTTAAGTTTGACATTAAACTAAAACGTCCAATTGATGTGGCTGTGTCACAGACTGGTCTCCTGTATATAACATCACAGGGTGAGGGTAGTGTCGTAGTGCACACTACCGGCGGTCAGCCGGTGACATCCATGCTTAAGCTGAAGAGGTCATGTAGTATTACACTGACCAGACAAGGCCACGTGATGGTTTGTGACGTAGAAAAAATATACTTCTTCACATCCAACAGTGTACAGTTCCCGGTCATTATTTCACTCAGAAACAGTAATTCCCAAATGTACAAAAGAGCGTGTAGAAACCCAGAATACATCAGTGACAAAAGTTACATCACAGAGAACAGTGTGAATGATAACATTGTGATATCAATTAATGACCAACACTGTATATATATGTTGTCATCTTCTCTTCAGCAGAATGATAAGTATGACCGTAGTGCTTATCAGCTGTACCAGTATGGCGGCACACGAGGCAGTGGTGATGGTGAGTTGGATGGACCTTGTGGAGTGTGCACAGACAGCTATGGTCACATCTTCATTGCTGACTGTAATAACCACAGAATAGTGGCACTGGATGCTCAAGGAGAGTTTATCAGATACATTGCCACTAAAAATGATGGGTTGGAGTGTCCGACAGCATTAGCCATCAACCCTGCTGGCCAGCTGGTGGTGGCAGAGGAACATGGCAAAGTTAAGACATTCCAGTACTTACAGTAACTATGATGATCACATTGAATAATGATTAAAATATATTAAACAGCTGATGTTTGTAAATGTGTTATCACTGATAATGAGGATAGGTTGTAGATGTAGGACAGCTCTGATATCACAGTGGAAGACTATGTATTTATATATGGTGGCTCTAACATGTTGTTTACATTTTAGATAAAGTTACTATTTTCTGATCCTCTAGTTTCTTATGAAAGGAAAACTTAACATTGAGGATAGGTTGTACATGTAGGAATCATAACATAAGGTATAGTCAGTGTGTAGGACAGCAGTGATAGCAGGGTGGAAGACTAGCTATTTATATATGATGGTCTGACTATGTTAAAGTTTATAGGGTTCAAAGCTGATTCACTGAGGAATTTTGTTTGTTTGTTCCATATTTTAGCAATGGTTACAACTGCAATCAAATAGATAATTAATTAAAAGTTTATTATTCAGATTAAAGAGAACTTAATGAACTAATAAGTGTATTAACAAGCATGTTTTGTTTTTTTTTTTCATATTACTTTTTGCACGTATGCATACATATGTATAAAGTACATATACATGTAAATTATTTATTATTATTATTATTATTATTATTATTATTATTATTATTATTATATTTTTTGTTTTTGTTTTCAACAGGGATTACAAAATATCCAATGAAATGAAAAATGAGTATTATAAGAGTTAATATCGTTGGTCAATGACAATTAATATATATATTAAAGGGTACAATTTAACTTCTTGAATTGAATATACAAAAGATGCTTAACTGATACTAATAGAATGAATAGAGCTTAATTTGTTAATACTCCTGATAGTGATAGTGTCATTGTATGACAGGGAGATATAGGTAAACAAATTATCAATATTTTTATTAAGTAAAATATGTCTTTTCATACAGCATATAGATGACTTGTGCTTAAGTTTTTGAGTGAATGGCAATTTATTAATATAAAGTAGTATTTAAGTATGCTTAAAGATGTTTTAATAGGTTCAATTTTTTAATCTTAGATGCAATGATTCCAAGACGGATATAATCACAATTGATTAATCATTGTAAATATTTTCAGGTATATATATATATATATATATATATATATATATATATATATATATATATATATATATATATATATATATATAAAAGGACTGAAGGAGAATCAATTATAGAGTGCATAGCCAAATTAATACAACTTATATTTTATGTATTTAACTCATTTTGATTTTTTTTTATTAATGAACTATTTTTTTTTTCATGGAACAGTAATAAGAAGTTTCATATAAGAATACTAGGAAATGGCCATATAACTATTGTTTGGGTAAATTTAACTAAGCATGATTTTTTAATGAAATGGTTTAAATTTTATAATATAAAATTGTATTGGCGATAGATAGTTATTTTTTCATTCACGAAAATTTGTAGTCTCAAAACTTAATTGAGCAGGAGATCAATTATTTGGTTCAAAGCTGAGTCACTGTGGAAGTGCTCTATTCACACAGACTTGAATGAAGTCAGAAGTAAAAGACACGCTAGCATTCATTAGGGGTATGTGTGAGGGTATCCTTCCAGAGTTTCCAAGTGGAATGTGAAAGAGGTACACGGGAAAGATTGTGATTTTGACTCACAATTGTTTTTAAGTATCTGATTGAAATTGAATAAAGACACCTTTTGATTTGGAACTGAAGACGTCAGTTCTGTTATTTATTGAGAACGACATTGCTAGCTAATACGAACATGTCGTTTCCAGGTTTGATGACGTAACTATTTTCTAATGAAAGGAATTTTTTTTTCTTTATGGACTTGTCTCACAGACATGTAATTTTCTTGTGATGATTTGTATTTTTTATAATTTACACATGCTCTAGACGTATCCCCTTTTAATAATTCTCTGCGGAATAGTTAACAGACAGTTCTTATGCCAGCAATCCCTAAAATGTTGTTACTCTTGACAAAACATTCATAAATGAGATGGAGCAGAGTTCCCAATGTTATGTTATACATTATAAAACCCATTATAAAATTCAGTGTGCAGTCAGACTTCATCAGGGAATGATGTTGTGATAGATAGCACAACCTAACACCCGCTCTGGTGTGCTATTCAATTACATCCCCCCCCCTCCCGTCTGCTCCTCCCTAAGGAGTGGTAGGTAGAGGTTGGGTAGCTCAGTCCCATCAGTACGATACCGCTTGGCCTCATGTAAGCAGATGTTGAATGCTTCACTAACTTTAGGGTGTAGGTCCCGTTGCTCTCTTTCCAAGATATTTTTATATCTTCTGGGGTTGTTGGTGTTAAACAATGTTCTGTCTGTTCCTGCAAGCAGACAAAATATTGGCTGGTAAGACCAGAAAATTATAAGTAGCTATAGACAAAAGAATCTTCACAAGTTCATTTTTTTTTTCTTTTTTCAGATACCAAATCTTACATGATTAATGGTTTAGAAAAGACAAATAACGACGAAAAAAAATATATATTTTATATAGTTAATTCAAATTCAAAGTATGCGCCCCCTCAAATACTTTGTTTCAATTATGATTTCCACAGAGGTAAAAATGTGTACTCAATTAAAAAAGACACTGCCAAATATAACCAAAGTTACATAGAATTATCAGTAGGATATGCTCGTTAACGGTAACGTGTCTAGTACCGTGTTTACTGCGAACTGCAATTATTGGCGGCGCGACAAGCATTTACCAAGGGCAACAATTTTTTGTGGGATATTGTCCTATTCTTCATAGAGAACTTGGCAAAGTTGTTCTAGATAATTTGGGGATTTGTTTTCATATGCATTGTACACTCCAATCCATAACACAGGTGCTCAGTAGGGTTAATAACAGACATTTCTATACATCTGTGGAACCGGCAGCGAAACACCGGATAAGAGACGTACATACTCTGATATAAAAATATACTTTTTTCGCCGCAAAATAAATAAATAAATAAATAAATAAATAAATAAATAAATAAAATACATAAATACACAGCTCAAAAAAAAAAAAAAAAAAAAAAAAACTGACAGAAGCAGTGCCTTGGTAAATCATTAAATGTATGAATGGAAAGAAGAAATAATTATCCATACTTACGTACATTTAACATAGGAAAGGATCAAGTTTGAAAGCAGGATTGTTTCACTTGACATAGGTTTAATTGACAAAGGTTAAAAAGAAAACCGACAGGCTTTGTGCTCTTTAAATTATTAACATACCCTTTTTATACTCTTAGTGTCTCAAAATCATGTAACTTCCTTTTTGAATAAATATAGCCGACCACCCTCTGGTTTGATATATTATTATTATTATTATTATTATTATTATTATTATTATTATCGAGCATTTTCATATTCGAAAAGTTTAATTGTAAGTGGTCACAAACATAGTCTCGGTCCTCCTTTGAAATTGATATTGGACAGAGATATATTGTGGTTGCTAAGCTTACCTTACACATAGAACAGTAGGAGTATAAGTGATTTATGCCTTCCAAGAAGGACTGAGCTCTAGCTCCCATGAATATTGATTACCCCAAAAGATATCTTCGTCATAATGGTTTTTCATGTACATATTCAGTTAAAAGAAGCGACAGCCATTTTTTACTGAGAATATGCTCACAGTTTTGTTTAAGTAGAAATAAGACCCTTATCTACGTGATTATTAGAATTTTTTCTTTAAAAATAGTGATGGACTGAAAGATTAAATTTTTTCATATTTAACACATATGACATGAACGTCCCGTTATCGAAATCTATCCCAAAACTAGAATTAATTTAAGAAAAAGGGGAAAAAATAACCCGTGAGTAGTCACCAGTTCCGAAATAATCATTAACACCGACATAATGCCTACTCCTGTCTATTCCAATTTACAAGGCAGTGACACCACCTTAGATTAAGAATATCTTGTCATTGTCGGTCGATTTATGTCTTCTCGGAAGGCATTAAAAGGCATGAGGTATAAAGTTAAGGACTTTGATGAGTGAGGCAGTCCGTTATACTGAATCATATGAATAAAAATCCAATGATTTTTGCCCTGGGCTTTATACGAGTAGAGGGAAGAGAGGGAAATAGAGAAGGCGGCGGGGAACCGACTGGAAAGTAGTATAGGAAAAGTAAGAGACCAATTCCAGAGACTATTGTACTAACTTTGGATCGATGTATACACAAGGGGATTCTCACTAAATTATTGTCAACTTAAGCGGTCTAAATGTCTGTCATGGCTACTAAAGCTGTTAGGGGGTAATTACCTACCGGAGCAAAGTTAATTCCCACTAGCTGATTCGGTAGGCGTGGCAGACATATGAACTTCTTCAGTTGATAGCAATTTAGCGTGAATCCTGTTGGATCGAGCTAGGCATAGGAACCCAGTCTAAAAGAACATGAAGGTATTTTGTTTACTACCCTGGTAAACGGGGAAGGAGGAAAAGGACGCATATTTCAGGGATTCCATTTAAAACATTTGTCAGAAAAAAAGGACATAACAGAAGCCTAGTTAAAGGGTATGATGAGTAAGTTTTTTTTTCCTTTGATCAGCTGCAAAACCAGGAAGTAAACAGGGAATGGAGAATTAAAAAGACTGTCAGACATGGCAGACGCACTAGCAGCAGCATTCACAGATAATCTCATAACATGTAGCGTCTGGCTGGGAGAGTATGAGGACCCCATTGTCCTGCCTTGCTACCATACATTTTGCTTTAACTATATGGCTGACCAAGCCAAGAAATTACTGATTCGAGACAGGAGATTTCAATGCCTCTTTTCTAAAGACAAAATAGATTTTACAAAGTAGGGACTTAAAAATCTAGAAACAGACATGGCAGAAGCACTAGCAACAGCTTTCACAGATAATCTCTTGACGTGTAGCATCTGTCTGGGAGAGTACGAGGACCCCCGTGTCCTGCCTTGCTACCATACATTTTGTTTCGGTTGTATATCTGGCTATGCCTCGAAAACTATATCTCGGGAATGGACATTTTACTGCCCTCTTTGTAAAGAACGGATACAATTGCCAAGAGAAGGACTCGTGAGATTAAGAAAAGATTTCCGTGTTCACAAAACGAAAGAGATTCTGAGTCAGAGACAGCAGCATGAGGTCTCAACTACAATCAGAGAAACAAATGTTACTAGTGTGACACAAGCCATTGCACAGGGGGCAATCTGTTGTGAGAAACATCCTAATAATGAATCAAAATATTACTGTGAAGATGACGATACTGTAATATGCTGTGAATGTATATTAACAGAACATAGTGGGCATCGTATTTCATCGATTGAGCAAACTGCAAAATGCAATAGAGATAAAATTAAATTTGCTCTTGTGAAAGCCAGGAAAAGATTCAACTATATAGAAGAGGCAGTTATAAAGGGACAGACAGTTGTTATGGGAACAGTCAATGAATCAAGCGACTCTCAAATCAGGGCAGCCACTATCGAATGCATCAAAAAAGAAGTTCAGAGCATGTGCAAATTAATTTATCAAAGGGAAGAGACACTGATATCAGAGGTGAATTCTGCTTACGATGAAAGAAAGAAGCAGAATGAGGCAAACAAGTACATCCTTGATCTCCACCATGCCTCCCTGCAAAGTGCCTGTGACTTTGCCCAGGAACTTATCATTAATGGCACAGACTTAAATATCATAGTCCATGCAAAATCTCTGACAGAGAGATTGGCAGCAATGAATAAAACACTTTTCTCATCTCTAAACACGCCTGCATTGATATTATACAGCCCAGGTAAAATATCTACTGCTGATCTAAAAACCATGTTAGGACAGGTGACAGTACAGTCACAACTTACATTAGGTCCAGCTCCTGTTTTCTTAAATAAGGCAGAATGTGTGCATTCCTTCAGTTCTAAGCTGAAACATGATAAAGCAATGTGCATATCTGGGTTGGCCATAGATGAGCAACACGTGTTTGTAGTGGATAAAGGAAATGGCACCACAAAAATATTCACACATGCTGGAAAGTTTAAATTTGAAATTAGACAAAACAATCCATTTGATGTGGCAGTGTCACAGACTGGTCACCTGTATATAACATCACAGGGTGACAAATGTGTCCAAGTGTACTCCACCAGAGGTCAGCACCTAACAACCATGGGCCAAAATCAACTTGAGGCCCCATGTGGTATCACAATGAACAAAGAAAGTCATGTGATGGTTTGTGACAGAGGGGAGAAAGCCATCTTTACATTTCATGCAGACAGTGGACAGCTCCTGAACACTATTCCACTTAGTATGTGTGTGTGCCCCCAGTACATCACAGTGAATACTGTGAATGATAACATTGTAATATCAGATATTCTGAGTAAATGTGTGCATGTGCTGTCATCTACTGGTGATCATCTGTACCAGTATGGCACAGAAGACTCTGGAGATGGTCTTTTGAAGTCAGCAGATACAGTGTGCACAGACAGCTACGGGCACATCTTCATTAGTGACTTTCTTTGCCACAAGGTAGTGGCACTGAGTCCACAGGGACAGTTTATCAGATACATTGCATCACAGCTCGATGGGCTGCAGGATCCAAATGCATTAGCCATCAACCCTGCTGGCCAGCTGGTGGTGGCAGAAGGACAGGGAAAAGTTAAGACATTCCAATATTTACAGTAACTACTGATAGCATTGAATAATGATGAAAATATATCAAACTGCTGATGTTTGTAAAATTTTGTGTTATCACTGATAATGAGGATAGGTTGTAGATGAAGGACTGTTGTGATAGCGGAGTGGAATACTATGTATTTATATGAAGGTTGAAAATGATGTTTCCATTTTTGATAAAGTAACTGGCGGTACAAATGGTCTGCTACGTCACAAATATCTAAACTACATTTACAAGAGCCCCTGTACCCAAATTCTGTATGTAGGTCACGTATAATGTCAACTCAATCCATGTGAATTGTGGGCTTTGTCGGTACTTGGGTAAAAGTGTGGCACTCGTCGCAGTGCAACATTGTCCACAATTGGCAAAATTAAATGTTACATATCTTCCAAACCGAAGGAATTATGGGAAGAATACGGTATACCGAAACTGAAAAGTTCTCTCTTATTCTGGAACCATTAATGCTAGGGGCCTCTTGTATTTTGCATTTGATAGAGCATATCAAGCCCAACACTGATATTGTGTCCATGTTTGCTTTCCATATGGTTTATGATTTACGCTGTATCAAAAAGTATATTGTAGGTGGTGTCTTTTTTTCCCCCGCGAATGCGCTTGCTACAGCTGGTGGTACAATACTTGGAGGCGGTATCGCCTCTCTGATCCTCTAATTTCTTATGAAGGGAAAACTTAGCATTGAGGATTGGTGTAAGATGTAGAAAACAGAATATATGTGGAAGACTAGGTATTTATATATGATGGTCTGAATATGATAAAGTCTATTCAGTTCAAAGCTGAATCACTGTGGCAGTGCTCTGTGCACACATACTAGATTGAAGTAAAAATTAAAAGATTTGTTGGCATTCATTAGGTGTGTGTGTGTGTGTGTGTGTGTGTGTGTGTGTGAGGGTTACATTTCAAAGTTTCTTTGCTTTTTTTATTGTGTCAATATTTAATTGTAGATAAACCAAAGGAGGATGCTTCACCCAAACACTTTTTTGTGCTTACTTTGTTATGCCTAGCTGTTGTTTGTAATAAATGTTCTTTGTATTTAGTAAATTTCAATTAGTTATTTGTCTGCCATATTGTTTGTTTAAATGTCATTTTAGGCAATTATCTAATAGATTATCTTTTTTTTTTTTTTTTTGCATTTTATTTGTTTGTTACATTATTAAGCAATGGTTACAACGGCAATTTAATACATAATTAATTATAAGTTTATTATTCAGTTTAAATAGAACTTAATAAAATAATAAATGTAATAACAAGAATGTTTTTTATTATTTTCATATAAAATTTTGCTTGTATTCTCACCTGTATGTATGCATATACATTTATACATTGTATTTATTTATTTTTTTCTGTTTGCAACATGAATCATATAAATGAAATGGACGGTGAGTTTTATTAGAGTTAATATTGTTGGTCAATGACAATTAATATATATTTACGTGTGAAATTTAACATTTATCTTAAATTAAATATACAGATGATGCTTTACTGATATTAATAGAATTAATATAATCTAATTTGTTTATACAACTGACAGTGTCATTGTATGATAGGAAGATACAGGTTATTAAGAGATAGGTTATAAAGCAAAATGTGTTATGTCGTTTCATACAACAAACGTATATGACTATTTGTACTTAATATTTGAATTAATGGTAACTTATTAATACAAATAGTATATATGTATGCTTAAAGATTTTTTACCTTAGATGCAATAATTCTAAGACTGATTTAATCACAATTGACCAATCATTGTAAATATTTTCAGAAATATTACTAAAGAAAAAAATTGTACTTTTCACATAGGTAAGGGTCAAGTTTGAAAACGGGATTGTTTCACTTGACATAGGTTTAATTGACAAAGGTTGAAAAGAAAACCGACGGGCTTTGTGCTCTTTAAATTATCAACATACCCTTTTTATACTCATACACCCCATTTCCATAGATTAGATCGACCTACTTTAGATCGACCTAACCCCCTGGGGGTTCACGCTAAATAGCTGTCAGCCGGGCGGACACGAAAGTTAATTACCCCTTACAGCTTGTAGTAGGCGGGACGGACATTTAAGTCGGATTATCTGAAAGTAATCTAGTGAGACTCCCCGCGGGGATAGATCGATCTAAAATCTATGGGAATAAAGCCATAGACCCCATTTCCATAGATTTTAGATCGATCTATCCCTGTGGGGAGTCTCACCAGATAACTGTCAGCTTAGCCGGCTTAAGCGTCTGACCTAAAAGCTGTAAGGGGATAATTAACTATGTTGCACGCTCTGCTGACTGCAATTTAGTGCGAACCCCCAGGGAGTTAGGTCGATCTAAATCTTAATCTCTGGATCGATCTAAATCTCTGGGAATACACCCTTAGTGTCTTAAAATCATGTAACTTAAAATTCCTTTTTAAAAAAATATAGTCGACCACCCTCTTATTTAATATTTTATTATTATTATTATTATTATTATTATTATAGAGAATTTTCATATTCGAAAAGTTTAATTGTAAGTTGTCACAAGCATAGTCTAGGTCCTTTGAAATTGGTATTCGACAGAGTGATACTGTGTCCTCATCCTGGCGGTTGCTTAACTTACCTTACACGAGGAAGCATATGCGATTTATGTCTTCCCAGAAGAAATAGTATCTAGGTCTCATGAATATTGATTACCCCATCAGATGTCTTTGTTATCAGAGACGAGTATATATTCAGTTTATTCAGTCAAAATAATTCCAATATTTACAGTAACTACTGATCACATCGAAAAATGATGAAAATATATCAAACTGCTGATGTTCGTAAAGAATTTGTGTTATCACTGGTAAAGAGGATAGGTTGTAGATGTAGGACAGCTGTGATAGCAGAGTGGAAGACTATATATTTATATGAGGGTTGAAACATGATGTTTCCATTTTTGATAAAGTTGGCGGTACAAATGGTCCGCTACGTCACAGCTATCTGAACTACATGCCCCTTTACCCAACTTCTGTATGTAGGTCACGTATAATCTCAACTCAATCCATGTGAATTGTGGGCTTTTGTCGGTACTTGGGTCAAGGCGTGGCACTCGTCGCAGAGCAACATTGTCCACAATTGGCAAAATTAAATGTTAAATATTTTCCAAACCGAAGGAATTATGGGAAGAATTTCTGCAGATAACGTCCCAAAAGTCATATGTGCAGATTTCAAATACACCATTGGATTTGACCTTTGACCTATATTAAAAGAAAAAACGGGCCAAAATTTTCGAAAAATATATCGATTTTCACAAACTTCACAGACCTTACCTATAACATTATTGGCAGGTATTAAAAATAGCGACGGTCATTTTTTTCCTAGGATATAGCTAAAATGTGCACACAATTTTGTTTAGTTAAAATAATCTAAATAAACAGGCTTCGATCATATTTCTATTACATGTTTCTGTTATTGACAATTCCCCTATCATTGAAAACATTACAAGAGGATATTGTGCTAGATCCATTGTTGAGTTTCAACTGGCCTTTAAGAATTTCCTAAGTATCTTTTTAGTCCTAAGGCACTTAAAGGGGGTATCTATGTGACAGGCCCGTAGCCAGGGGGGGGGGTTCGGTGGGTTCGAAAGAACCCCTTTTTTTGCTGGAAAAAGGTCCACTCTGGGTAAAATTTGATCTAGGTGCATGGGGATTATATGGTAAAGAGTCCACTTTTTCAGAAAAAGAACCCCCATTTGAAATTGCTGGCTACGGGCCTGCGTGATTATTAGAATTTTCTTTTAAAATAGTGATGGAGTGCACTGAAAGATTAAATGTTTTCATATTTAACACATGACATGGACTTCCCGTTATCAAAATCTATCCCAAAACGAGAATTAATTACGAAAAAGAAAAAAATAATCCGTGAGTAGTCACCGGTACTGAAATAATCATTAACACCGACATAATGCCTACCCCTGTCTATTCCAATTTACAAGGCAGTGACACGACCTTGGATTAAGAATATCTTGTCATTGTCGCACAATTTACGCCTTCTCGGAAGACATAAAAAGACATGAGTTATAAAATATAGGAGACTGATGAAAGAGGAAATCCGTTATACTGAATATTTGATTCATATGAATAAAAACCCAACGAGTTTTGTACTGGGCTTAATACGAGTTGAGGGTAGAGAGGGAAACGGAGAGAAGGCGGCCGGGGTACCGACTGGAAAGTAGTATAGAAAGAGTATAAGAGACCATTCCCAAAGCCTATCGTACTGAATTTAGATCGATTTGTCTCCAAGGGATTTCCACTAAATTATTATCAATGTAAGCGGTTTAAATGTCTGCCGCCTCGTCTACTGAAGCCGTTAGGGGGTAATTAAACAATGAAGCAAAGTTAATTCCCCCTAACTGATTCGGTAGGCGTAACCGACATATAAGCTGCTTCAGTCGATAGCAATTTAGCATGTATCCCTCATTAAGTTCTCTTGTTGTCTACCCTGAGTAACGGGAAAAGGAGGAAACGGACGCATATTTAAGGGATTGCATTTAAAACATTTGAAAAAACGACTTTACAGGACCCTAGTAAAAGGGTGTGATGAGTAAATTTTGTTCTTTTCCTTTGATCAGCTGCAGCACCAAGAAGTAAACGGGGAATGGAGAATAAAAGAGACAGTCAGTCATGGTAGATGCAATAGCAGCAGATCTTACTATGCCAAGAAACTACTGAAACGAGACAAGACACTTCAGTGCAAGTTTTGTAGAGACAAAATTGATTTTCCAAGAGAGGGACTTGAAAATCTAAAGACGGACATGGCAGAAGCACTAGCAGCAGCATTCACAGATAATCTCTTGACGTGTAGCATCTGTCTGGGGGAGTATGAGGACCCCCGTGTCCTGCCTTGCTACCATACATTTTGCTTTGGTTGTATATCTGACTATACTTCAAAAATTATAGCACGGTACGCGACATTTTACTGCCCTCTTTGTAGAGAACGGATACAATTGCCAAGAGGAGGGCTCTTGAAACTAAAAAAAGATTTCCGTGTTCACAAAANCAGTCACAACTCACATTAGGTGGAGAGGGAACAAATCTAAGTTCAGCACCACGTCCTCATGTTTTCTTAAATAAGGCAGAATGTGTGCATTCCTTCAGTTCCAAGCTGAAACATGATAGAGTAGTGTGCATATCAGGTTTGGCCATAGATGAGGAACACGTGTTTGTGGTGGATAAAGGCAATGGCACAACAAAAATATTCACACATACTGGAAAGTTTAAATTTGACATTAGACAAAACAATCCATTTGATGTGGCAGTGTCACAAACTGGTCACCTGTATATAACATCACAGGGTGACAAATGTGTCCAAGTGTACTCCACCAGAGGTCAGCAGCTGACAACCATGGGCCAGAGCCACCTCAAGGATCCACGGGGTATTACACTGAACGGACAAGGTCATGTGATGGTTTGTGATAGAGGGGAGAAAGTCATCTTCACATTTTATGCAGACAGTGGACAGCTCCTGAACACTATTCCACTCAGTATGTGTGTGTGCCCACAGTACATCACAGTGAATAGTGTAAATGATAACATTGTAATATCAGATATTCTGAGTAAATGTGTGCATGTGCTGTCATCTACAGGTACTGGTGATCATCTGTACCAGTATGGCACAGAAGGCAGTGGTGATGGTCTGCTGAGGTCAGTAGATACAGTGTGCACAGACAGCTACGGACACATCTTCATTAGTGACTTTCTTAACCACAAGGTAGTGGCACTGAGTCCACAGGGACAGTTCATCAGATGCATTGCCACTAAGGATGATGGGATGGAGCATCCCATAGCATTAGCCATCAACCCTGCTGGCCAGCTGGTGGTGGCAGAAAGATATGGCAAAGTTAAGACATTCCAGTACTTACAGTAACCACGATCACATTAAATAACGCGGCCGTCCAATCTTACGTACCTTATAGTCTCATTACCTTTAATTCAGTATTGTCCCACTTGACAAAGATTTCATTGACAGAGATTTAAAGGAAAGCAGTCGGGCTTTGTGCTCTTTTAATCATCAACAATCCCCTTCTTATAGTCTTAGTGTCTCAAAATCATGTAACTTCTTTAAAAATACAGCCAACCACCTGCTGGTTAAATGTGATACTACTACTATCATTATTATTATTATTATTATTATTATTATCGTGCATTTTCACATTCGAAAAGTTTTATTGTAAGTTGTCACAAATATAGTCTTGGTCTTTTGAACTTGGTATTCAACAGAGTGATACTGTGTTCTCATTCTTGCGGTTGCTTAACTTACTTTACACGAGGAAGCATACGCGATTTATGCCTTCCCAGAAGAAATAGTCTCTAGGTCCCATGAATATTGATTACCGCCTCATATTTCTTTGTCATCAGAGACGAGTGTATATTCAGTTAAAAGTAGCGACGGTCATTTTTTTCCTAGGATATAGCTAAAATGTACTCACAATTTTGTTAAATTAGAAATAATCTAATTTTTACAAGCTTCGATCATAATTCTATTACATTTTTCTGCCATTTACAAACCCCCCTATCATTGAAAACATTACAAGAGGATATTGTGCTAGACCCAGTGTTGAGTTTCAACTGGCCTGTAAGAAATTGCTAGATATCTTTCCAGTTATCAGGCACTTTTCTACGCGGTCTCTTTCTTAGAAATTTTCTTTAAAAATAGTGATGAACTGACAGAATAAAATCTTTCATATTTACGCATAACATGGACTTCATGTCCATTTCAAAACTCGAATTAATTAATTAAAAAAGCTTAGTAGTCACCAGTACTGAAATAATCATTAACACCGACATAATGAGTATTCTTTGTCTAACCCAATTTATAAGGCAGTGACACGACCTTAGATTAAGAATATGTCTCGGAAGACATTAAAAGGCATGAGATACAAAATGTAGGACATTGATGAAAGGGGCGGTCCGTTTTACTGAGTATTGGAATCACATGAATAAAAATCCAGCGAGTTTTGTTCTGGACTTAATACGAGTAGAGGGTAGAGAGAGAAATGGAGAGAATGAGGCGGGGGAACCGGCTGGAAAGTAGTATNATTATTATTATTATTATTATTATTATTATTATTATTATTATCGTGCATTTTCACATTCGAAAAGTTTTATTGTAAGTTGTCACAAACATAGTCTTGGTCTTTTGAACTTGGTATTCAACAGAGTGATACTGTGTTCTCATCCTTGCGGTTGCTTAACTTACTTTACACGAGGAAGCATACGCGATTTATGCCTTCCCAGAAGAAATAGTCTCTAGGTCCCATGAATATTGATTACCGCCTCATATTTCTTTGTCATCAGAGACGAGTGTATATTTAGTTAAAAGTAGCGACGGTCATTTTTTTCCTAGGATATAGCTAAAATGTACTCACAATTTTGTTAAATTAGAAATAATCTAATTTTTACAAGCTTCGATCATAATTCTATTACATTTTTCTGCCATTTACAAACCCCCCTATCATTGAAAACATTACAAGAGGATATTGTGCTAGACCCAGTGTTGAGTTTCAACTGGCCTGTAAGAAATTGCTAGATATCTTTCCAGTTATCAGGCACTTTTCTACGCGGTCTCTTTCTTAGAAATTTTCTTTAAAAATAGTGATGAACTGACAGAATAAAATCTTTCATATTTACGCATAACATGGACTTCATGTCCATTTCAAAACTCGAATTAATTAATTAAAAAAGCTTAGTAGTCACCAGTACTGAAATAATCATTAACACCGACATAATGACTACTCTTTGTCTAACCCAATTTATAAGGCAGTGACACGACCTTAGATTAAGAATATGTTGTCATTGTCGTGGGATTTATGTCTTCTCGGAAGACATTAAAAGGCATGAGATACAAAATGTAGGACATTGATGAAAGGGGCGGTCCGTTTTACTGAGTATTGGAATCACATGAATAAAAACCCAGCGAGTTTTGTTCTGGACTTAATACGAGTAGAGGGTAGAGAGAGAAATGGAGAGAATGAGGTGGGGGAACCGGCTGGAAAGTAGTATAGAAAGAGTTCGAAAGGACGTAAAGGTATCGTGTTTTCAATATCCATCGTCACATATACAGGTATAAACATGTATCTCTTTTTAAACATTAACGGCTAGCTAAACAGACACGTGCGTTTTTAGATAAAATGATATATCATACATGGATACAAACATTAAGAGAAAAGTCCAACATTTCAGCATTTTTAATGCCCATATATGTGTTTTTGCTCTTGGATTTTAAAACTACCAGATGTAAGTTCGTTTTAACCGGCACAAGGTTATACACATTAAATAGGTAAAGATGGTTATGAAAAATGAGAAATAAAGTAGTGTACAAGAGTACAATTTACGCAGTATTCTTGGTGTTGAAAAGTTTGAATGCCATGCGAAAATAATTCATGTGAAGCTTTCTAGTTAAAGGAAATACTGAGTAAGTTTTTGTTGTTTTCTTTTCTCTGATCACTGCATCAGCTCGAGAGAGTAAATACTGGTAGGAAAGAGAGAACCAAAGAGACAGTCGGACATGGCAGAAGCACTAGTAGCAGCTTTGACAGAAAACTTCTTGATATGTAGCATCTGTCTAAGGTAGTATAAGGATCCCCGTTTGCTGCCTTGCTACCGAATACGTTTTGCTTTGGCTGTATATTTGACCATGTTTCGAAAACTGTATCTCGGGACAGGATATTTAAATGCCCTCTTTGTAGAGAAGAGATACAATTGCCAACAGAAGGACTCGTGAAACTGAAGAAAGATAGAGCTTCTGTGTCCGATAAAGCAGCAGAAGGAGCCCAAAATGTGAATATGTAAGTTGTTCATCGATTTATAGATAATCCAATATAAAAAAGTTAGGGATCAGAGAGAAGATACCGCCTCCAAGTATTTTACCACCAGTTGGAGCAAGTCCATTAGCGGGGAAACAAAAACAAAAATAAAAAGAAAAGATAAAAAAGGGATACTACCTCCAGTGTTGTACTTGACAAGCTCTACAAAATGCAGGTAACAAGTCTTAGAGTTCTTGATTTTTTTTTTTTTGAAAACTAAAATGCTTAACAAAATCATCCAAATTTGTTAAGTGTAGTTCATTGCAAAAAGGAGGTCAAGGGTCAAATTCAAGCTAATATGAACATTATCAATATACGAGTTCCTACCCAAGTTCAGTAGTATCTATGGGCATATCTCTGCTACACAGCAAAATAAAAATACTGGCAGGCATGGTTTTATTTGTTTAACCTGAGCTCAGGTTAATATGCTACAACTGTGTCACCAGACTCAATACTCTTTATGTGCTAGCTGCTACTGTCATGTCAGCTTAATAATCAGTTATCAATGTATTCTTCTACTTTAGCAATAGAGGAGAGAAATAACAACACTGCATACTACAAGAAATATGTTTAAAACATGCAGTAACTAATGATAATGCAATGGTTGTGTGTGTATGCATGTGTACGTGTGTGTGTGTACGTGCGTGTATACATGTGCATGCTTGTGTGAGTGTGTCCACATATATACGTGTGTGTATGTGTGTTTGTGTGTGAGTGTGTGTGTGAGAGAGAGAGAGAGGAAATTTGACCAAATATCCCTCTGTAATAAATGTAACAGTCATTAAATTCGAGCAGGTTTCTTTCACATAAAGCGAGACAAAAATACCTGCATTCATGGCTTCATTTCTATAGCCTGTGCTTAAGAGTAAACATAATACAACTACGTCAACAACCAATACACAATATATGTTCCTTTTGACCCCAAAGTCGCTATGTTGAGGTCAGTGTCAGGTAATAAACATACTCCATGTTTTCTCTACCTTTCCGCAGTTTTAAAGGGGACAGGAAGAAAGAGGATATTTCTGGGATTATTTTTAAATCATTTGCTATAAATATGACAGTAAGCCAGTTTAGACAACACACAGCAACAGTGACATTTTATTGTGATTTCTGTTTATCAAAGCTGCAGCACTTGGGAATAGAAAGAAACTGAGCATTTTTGACAATTTTTAGACTGAGTTACTCAACTTAGACAACAAAACCAACCCAACATCCTTTGTACATTAACAAAGGGACAGTAAGACATGGCAGAATCACTAGCAGCAGATATCAAAGAGAATATCTTAACATGCAGTATTTGTCTGGGAGAGTACAAGGACCCCCGTGTGCTGCCTTGCTACCATACATTTTGCTATGGTTGTATATCTGACCATGCTACACGCACTCTGACTCCGAATAGGACATTTCTGTGTCCCATATGTAGAGAAGAGGTCCAGTTTCCAGTTGGTGGACTTGACCAACTGAAAAAGAATTTCATCTTTAGTAAGACCAAGGATATCATAACCAAGCAACAAGAGAAGCAGGCATTAGAAGAGGACCAGTCCAATGTAGCAGCAGTGACACAGACCATTGCACAGATGACCATCCGTTGTGAGAAACATTCAAATAATGAGTTAAAATATTACTGTGAAGATGATGATACTGTTGTATGTGGTGACTGTGCATTAACAGATCATTACAGACATGGTATTGTGCCAGTTGATAAAGTTGCAAAAAGCAACAGAGATAAAATAAATGCTTCTCTTCTGAGAATTTTGAAAACAACAAACAGGTTAAAAGAGGCAGTTGCCAAGGAACCAGCCAATGAAAAAGAGGACTCTCACATCAGGATAGCCACTATCAAAAACATAAAAAAACAAGCTCAGAGTATGCGCAGTTTCATTGATCAGAAGGAAGAGACACTGATATCAGAGGTGCATTCTCATTATGACAACATGAAAAAGCAAAAGGAGGCAAACAAGGACATCCTTGAATTCCACCATGCCGCCTTGCACAGTGCCTGTGATTTTGCCCAGGAACTTATCACTAAAGGCACTGACTATGATGTCATGGTTCATGCAAAACCTCTGATAGACAGACTGGCGGTGATGGAGAAAACACCTGTCCTAACACAAGACACGTCAGCACAGATATCATACAAACCTGGTGAGATATCTACTGACGGACTTGAGGCCATGTTAGGACAGTTGACAATACAGTCACAAACAATAAATCCAAGATCAGCACCACATCCTCCTATTTTCTTGGATAAGGCCGAATGTGTGCATACCTTCAATGCTAAGCTGACAAATGACAGAAAAATTCACACATCTGGGTTGGCCATAGATAAGGACCAAGTGTTTGTTGTGGAAACTAACAGAACAAAAATTTTCATGCATACTGGAGAGTTTCAGTATGACATTGAAGTAAACAGACCATGGGATGTGGCTGTGTCACAAACTGGTCACCTGTATATAACATCAAGGGGTGACAGATGTGTCAAAGTGTACTCCACGAGAGGTCAACAGGTGACAACAATGGGTCAGCATCTACTGGAGGATCCACGGGGTATTACATTGAACAGAGAAGGTCATGTGATGGTTTGTGACAGTGAAAACAAATCCATCTTTACATTTCATGCAGTCAGTGGACAGCTCCTGAACACTATTCCACTCAGTATGTGTGAAGACCCATGGTACATCACAGTGAACAGTGTGAATGATAACATTGTGATATCAGACTCATGCAATAACTGTGTACATGTGCTGTCGCCTACTGGTGATCAGCTGTACCAGTATGGCGGCACACAAGGCAGTGGTCATGGTCATCTGCATGAACCACATGGAGTGTGCACTGACAGCTATGGCCACATCTTCATTGCTGACTGGGGTAACAGCAGGAAAGTGGCGCTGAGTCCACAGGGGCAGTTTATTAGATACATTGCCACTAAGGATGATGGGTTGCTGTTTCCCGCGGCATTAGCTATCAACCCTGCTGGCCAGCTGGTGGTGGCAGAGAGACATGGCAAAGTTAAGACATTCCAGTACTTACAGTAACCGTAGAGCACTGATGAAATTATAACACACCTCGTGTTGGAACTCCCTTTTCCTCCAACTGGGTTCTTTTCTTCATTGTTCAAGTTGGGTGTTTTTTTTAATAAAACGAGCTATGCAGTATATCGGTACTTCCATGCAGTAAATAAAATTTAAATATAATGTAAAGCAGTAAATGTAGTTGGAAGCTAGGTTATCGATATCATCATGAAGTAAATATAAAACCCAAATATAAATAAACAGAGGGCTGGGCGATTCCGTACCAACACATCAAAAGAAGGTACATTTAGCCAAGATATTACCGATTTTCACATATTTTGTAGATATTATATTGGCTTGAAAAAATAGATCATATACCGGTACAATGTACCTTCAAATTGTTTTCCAAATTATTAATTGAAATTCTAAACAAATTTTAACACTGAAAACATCACGTAGTGTTCAGAATGGAATTTACAGATCAGAGATGTCTTAGGTGTTTTTTCAGTAATCTCTCAAACACCAGGTAACTTACTGTAATGGAGGCTACATGTATAAACTTTCTACTAAGAAAATACCAGATACGAGTTCTGTGGCACATGTAGAATTCTTTCGAGTTAAGTGTTTCATCTTAGCATTCCGTCTTTTCACAAGTCTGTTTTTTTTTTTTTTTTTTTTTTTTTTTTTTTNGCTATGCGTAGTCAAAATCCAAATAGGACATTTCTGTGTCCAATTTGTAGAGAAGAGATCCAGTTTCCAGCTGGTGGACTTAATCAACTAAAAAAGAATTTTGTCTTCAGCAAGACCAAGGATATCATAACCAAGCAACAAGAGAAGCAGGCATTAGAAGAGGACCAGTCCAATGTAGCAGCAGTGACACAGACCATTGCACAGATGACCATCCGTTGTGAGAAACATTCAAATAATGAGTTAAAATATTACTGTGAAGATGATGATACTGTTGTATGTGGTGACTGTGCATTAACAGATCATTACAGACATGGTATTGTGCCAGTTGATAAAGTTGCAAAAAGCAACAGAGATAAAATAAATGCTTCTCTTCTGAGAATTTTGAAAACAACAAACAGGTTAAAAGAGGCAGTTGCCAAGGAACCAGCCAATGAAAAAGAGGACTCTCACATCAGGATAGCCACTATCAAAAACATAAAAAAACAAGCTCAGAGTATGCGCAGTTTCATTGATCAGAAGGAAGAGACACTGATATCAGAGGTGAATTCTCATTATGACAACATGAAAAAGCAAAAGGAGGCAAACAAGGGCATCCTTGAATTCCACCATGCCGCCTTGCACAGTGCCTGTGATTTTGCCCAGGAACTTATCACTAATGGCACTGACTATGATGTCATGGTTCACGCAAAACCTCTGATAGACAGACTGGCGGTGATGGAGAAAACACCTGTCCTAACACAAGACACATCAGCACAGATATCATACAAACCTGGTGAGATATCTACTGACGGACTTGAGGCCATGTTAGGACAGTTGACAATACAGTCACAAACAATAAATCCAAGATCAGCACCACATCCTCCTATTTTCTTGGATAAGGCCGAGTGTGTGCATACATTTAATGCTAAGCTGACAAATGACAGAAAAATTCACACATCTGGGTTGGCCATAGATGAGGACCAAGTGTTTGTTGTGGAAACTAACAGAACAAAAATTTTCATGCATACTGGAGAGTTTCAGTATGACATTGAAGTAAACAGACCATGGGATGTGGCTGTGTCACAAACTGGTCACCTGTATATAACATCAAGGGGTGACAGATGTGTCAAAGTGTACTCCACGAGAGGTCAACAGGTGACAACAATGGGTCAGCATCTACTGGAGGATCCACGGGGTATTACATTGAACAGAGAAGGTCATGTGATGGTTTGTGACAGTGAAAACAAATCCATCTTTACATTTCATGCAGTCAGTGGACAGCTCCTGAACACTATTCCACTCAGTATGTGTGAAGACCCATGGTACATCACAGTGAACAGTGTCAATGATAACATTGTGATATCAGACTCATGCAATAACTGTGTACATGTGCTGTCACCTACTGGTGATCAGCTGTACCAGTATGGCGGCACACAAGGCAGTGGTCATGGTCATCTGCATGAACCACATGGAGTGTGCACTGACAGCTATGGCCACATCTTCATTGCTGACTGGGGTAACAGCAGGAAAGTGGCGCTGAGTCCACAGGGGCAGTTTATTAGATACATTGCCACTAAGGATGATGGGTTGCTGTTTCCCGCGGCATTAGCTATCAACCCTGCTGGCCAGCTGGTGGTGGCAGAGAGACATGGCAAAGTTAAGACATTCCAGTACTTACAGTAACCGTAGAGCACTGATAAAATTATAACACACCTCGTGTTGGAACTCCCTTTTCCTCCAACTGGGTTCTTTTCTTCATTGTTCAAGTTGGGTGTTTTTTTAATAAAACGAGCTATGCAGTATATCGGTACTTCCATGCAGTAAATAAGATTTAAATATACTGTAAAGTAGTAAATTTAGTTGGAAGCTAGGTTATCGGTATCATTATGAAGTAAATATAAAACCCAAATATAAATAAACAGAGGGCTGGGCGATTCCGTACCAACACATCAAAAGAAGGTACATTTCGCCAAGATATTACCGATTTTCACATATTTTGTAGATATTATATGGGCTTGAAAAAATAAATCATATACCGGTACAATGTACCTTCAAATTGTTTTCCAAATTTTTAATTGAAATTCTAAACAAATTTTAACACTGAAAACATCACGTAGTGTACAGAATGGAGTTTACAGATCAGAGATTTCTGAGGTGTTTTTTCAGTAATCTCTCAAACACCAGGTAACTTACTGTAATGGAGGCTACATGTATAAACTTTCAACCAAGAAAATACCAGATACGAGTTCTGTGGCACATGTAGAATTCTTTCGAGTTAAGTGTTTCATCTTAGCATTCCGTCTTTTCACAAGTCTGTTTTCTTTTTTTTTTTTTGTAATTTTATTTTGAGTGCTATATGTAAAAAAAAAAAAAACATCCGAAAAACTAAATTTAATATATTCCAAGTTAAATATACGAATTTTAAAGATTACAGCAAATATTTTTATATGTTTTATAAATAATTTACCCTCTTCTTTCAGAATATGCAACTTTTGATTGGTTTTTGGATATTGGAAAATTTAATGCCCAAGACACAAATACCGTACCAAGGAATGTCATGTATATATTAAATTTTGGTTTTAATGTGTCCATTCCTTTATTGTTTAGACTTTTTGTGCGTACATGTTAATTAAATGTTCATTGTTATGCATCATTTTCCATTCAGTGTTGATTACTGTTGTAGCTAGAATGCTGTTTAAAGTTTGAGGCAGATTATTAAATTTACAGTGATAAGCTTTTCATTCCCATTTTGCAGTGTCAATTTTGATTCATGGAATAGGCCTTTTTATGAATAAATCATTTGTTAAACTTTTGGACTGTTAGCCTTTTTTCATTTTCATTCAGGCTAAAGGTTCATCTGTCAGCTGATGGTGTGAAAAGGTGTGTAAGCGCGTCTAAAATTATCATGACGGGAAACACTATAAACGTGAAGTATTGCCTGTATTGTAGGGTTACTGACCGGGGGAGGGGGGAAGCAGATTGAGATTCAATAAAGAGGCATGGATTTTTTTCCATATATACAGTATGTTGGCATACGTTCCTCTGCAATTTCTTTAGCTTTCCTTCTCTCTTTGTTCACACACATAAACACCCACACACAAACAGATTGGTTTGAACATTCTAACTATCTAGATGCACGTCTTGGAATTAATATATATAAAGACGATGAGTAGGTTGACCACTCCGACCCGCCAGTTGTCAAACATCACATTAACAGATGTACAGCCGTAATTATATGTTATCTTTATCTAATTTTACCACTTTGAAATTCCTACATGAAATTGCTGGCATATTATAATTCTTATTCACGCAATGCAGAGATATGCACCTTTCATTTCTGTTCAACTTAACAGAAGTCTTTGAGTCTTATAATTATAACAAATCAGCAAACGTCCTGATTTTGTGAATGGGAATACAGCACACCAAGTGGTATGAAAAATAACTAGTTTCTCACACGCCCTCAATCGGCAAATGGCCCAGCCTATCTTGTTATATGTTTACCAATTTCCTCAGGGATATGGGACAATGCTGACAGTGGCGCCACCGTATGGTGTTAGCCAGATTACGTATTAATGGCTGTAGGGGATAGCACAGGGATAGTGCTGCAGTCACTGCAGGGGGCAATAAATTAACAGGAACACACAGAGCCGAATAGAATTCAAACATGCATGTGTTGGTTAATTTGTTTAAATTGAATTAAGTGAAAACACAATTCAACTGCGCCAACAAAAATTACGTTATTCTTTGGGTCAGCTTCAGAAATAATCAATCAATATATTCCCGTGTACGGAAAGAAGATCAATAAAGGAGGGTCAATTTCATTATACACTGTATATTGCAAGCATTTCTAAGTAATTATGAAGCAAGAATGAAAAAAGATTTTTTACAAAGCACTTTATAATCAAGTTGCCAGCCTTTCTTTCACACAAAGCGTAGCATTTATAACTATTTCTATAAAAGGAGCAGAGTGAGCACAATGGAGAACCAACCACAATGTAATTGCGTCACCATACCACAAAAACTGTTCTATAACCTGCTGGTTACTATGGTCAGGTTAGCGTCAGGTTATAATAAATAGAAGCAGTATTTTTCTCTACCTTTGAACAATTTTAAAAGGGAAAAGAAGAAACAGGGCATTTGCATTTGCATTTGCCAGAAATACTGACGTGTGGTATAAACTATATAATGTATAATAAAACTCAAATATATACTTATAATTAGGGTCATGCAGTATTTCTGTACTTTCTTATTGTAAAAAAAAGTCGAATATGTAGCAATTAAGATACGTAAATGGAAGAGAAAATGGTATGGGTTATTTTTTTTTGGATGTCATTTGTGAAGTACGTCGTTCCAACCAGATGTCGTATATGTATACAGTACAGTAACGTTTAAATAACCCCACACTATCACTAGTACATTATAAAAACAGATTTTGATCCCAAATAAGATACGTATAGACCGTGCTAGTAACCCATTATTTCTTTGTTACATATGACGGAAAATTCAAAATGAAATATCAGAGTTTAAACTTTCTTGTAAACCTTACGGTTCAGTCCATTGTCAAGTAAACAGGGGTACTTTGATTGTTTTCTTTCAAATACTTTAAAAAAAAGCAGAAAAGGCACACCTGCCAACATAACTCTATTTCATAGTCCTGAGCAATGAGTAAACACAATTGTGTCAGCAAACAACAGACTGCATTATTCTTTATTGTCCGCTCTTTGCTACGGTGAGGTAATCTTGAAGAAATTAACAATCGACAGATTTCGTTCTACCTAGTAGATAAATAAAGGTGAGTAAAATGGTACACTTCATACTGCAGTTAGTATTATGTTAATTTATAACGACGCGAAAAATAAATAAGTAACTGTTCAATAGATCGCTCTATAATGCGACTTCCAGTCATTTAACTTTGGAAGGGTTTTTTTTTTCACACAAAGCGTAGCGTATATAACTCTATTCTTTAAAAAGAACTTAGAGTGAACACAACGTAATTGCGTCACCATACCACAAAAACTGCATTATATGTAAACGGCGGCTTTGGTCAGGTAATGTACTCTAACTTTGGTTAATTCTAAAAGGGAACAGAAGAAACAAAACACATTTAAGGCTCTCCATGAAAACGCTTGCCAGAAAAAAAACTGATATATAACATTGCGGTCTGTGAAGGATACTAAATAAGTATATATTTATGATGCTGTGATCTCTGTAAGCTAGCGCTGGACCAGGACCAGGACCAGGAAGCTAAAAGGAATCCTTGACACCTGTCTGATTTAGTGACTCCACTGCAAAGGTACCATCACCAGCTTACTACACTTGTGACTTTACAAAAAGACAGTCAGATATGGCAGAAGCACTAGCAGCAGATATCAAAGAGAACATCTTGAAATGTAGCATCTGTCGTGCCGATTATGAAGACCCCCGCGTGCTGCCTTGCTATCATACATTTTGCTTTGGTTGTATATCAGACCATATTACGTGCACGCTGACACCAAACCAGACTTTTCATTGTCCTGTCTGTAAATTTGCAACCCGGCTTCCAGCTGGTGGACTTACACAACTGACAAAGAATTTTGTCTTCTGCAGGGCTAAGGATATCATAACTCTTCAACTAAATAGACAGACATTACAAGAGGAACAGGCAAATGTAGCAGCAGTGACACCGGCCATTACACAAAAGACCATCAGTTGTGAGAAACATCCTAATAATGAATTAAAATATTAATGTGAAGATGAAGATATTGTTGTATGTGGTGACTGTGCATTAACAGATCATTACAGACATGGTATTGTGGGAGTTGATAAACTTGCAAAATGCAACAGAGATAAAATTACAGCTGCTCTTGAGAACACCATGAAAACAACAAACAGGTTTAAAGTTACCAGAGAAAATATCAATGAAACAGATTCAATTGACTCAACGAACAACTCTCAATTGATAATCACCACCGTTCATGATATTGAAGCCCATGCTCAGCGTATCGTTCAACAGATTACTAAAAGGAAGAATACCCTAATATCGGATTTCTGCTCATATAAAAAGCAGGAGTTGATAAACAAGGAGAGCCTACAGGTCCACCATACCTCCTTGCAAAGTGCCTGTGACTTTGCCCAGCAACTGGTTATAAATGGCACTGACACTGAAATCATGGCTCACGCAAAATCTCTGCTAAAAAGACTTGAAGCAATGGAGAAAATGTCTGTCCCAACTCTAGACACACTGGCAGAGATATCCTTCAGCCCTGGTGAGATATCTGCTGCCGGACTGGAAGCCATGTTAGGACAGGTGACAGTATAGTCACAACTTCCATTAGATGGACAGGAAACAAACCAAAGTTCAACACCACATCCTCCTGTTTTCTTAGATACTGCAAAATGTGTTCATTCATTTAGTTCTAAACTGAAAGATGATACAGACATATACATATTTGGATTAGCCATGGATGAGGTACAAGTGGTCGTTGCTGATAATGAAAATAACAGAGCAAAAACATTCACACATGGCGGAAAGTTTGAATTTGACATTAAACTAGACAGACCATTTGATGTAACTTTGTCACAGACCGGTCACCTGTATTTAACATCAGGTGGTGACAAATGTGTCCAAGTGTTCTCCGCCAAAGGTCACAAGGTGACAACTATGGGTCAGGGTCAACTTGACACGCCACTTGGTATTACACTGAACAGACAAGGTCATGTAATGGTCTGTGATGGTGAAGAAAAATTTATCTTTACATTCCATCCAGACAGCGGAGAGCTCCTGAACACCATTCCACTCAGTATGTGTGAATACCCTCGGTACATCACAGTGAACAGTTCGAATGATAACATTGTGATATCAGACTGGTGGGAACACTGTGTACATGTGCTGTCACCTACTGGTGATCAACTGTACCAGTATGGCACAGAAGGCAGTGGTGATGATCAGCTGGCTGCACCAAGTGGAGTGTGTACAGACCGCTATGGTCACATCTTTATTGCTGACTGTAATAACCATAGGATAGTGGCGCTGAGTCCCCGGGGAAAGTTTATCAGATACATTGCCACTGAGGATGATGGATTAGAGTCTCCAAAAGCATTAGCCATCAGCCCTGCTGGCATGCTGGTGGTAGCAGAGGCAGACGGCAAAGTTAAGAAATTTCAATACTTACAATGACTACTGATCCCTTTGTACACTGGTGGAAATATATCTCAATATTGATGTTTATGGAACCACTGATAATGAGGATAGGTTGTAGGAACCAGTACGTAAATTATAGTTACTCTACTGGACAGCTGTGATTTGTAAAGTACCCTTCTTCAAATGAAAGGAAAAGAGCAATTTTTTCATAGATTTATCTAACAGATTGTGAGGGGTTTTTGTGGTGTTTTGTGCTTTGTACTTTTGTATAGTTTGCTCATACTTCTATCCCTTTTGGACTATTAACTGTGTGGATACCTATAAGACAGTGTCTACGCCAACAATCCCCAAACTATTGATACTGTCAAAAAAGACACTCAAAATGAGATGAGCATAGTTCCCAGTGTCATATTGTACATTGTTATTATACAATTCAGTGTGTGAATAGTTACAGTGATTCAGCGCCAGGGAGATAGATCTAGCATACTACAAACGGTTGCGATATGCATGCAAAAGTGATGGTATACGAGGACAGTTTATATTTCTAGCAATAAAGATGTTTTTTCAGCAACAGTTGTAATTAAAATTCAAACATATAGTAATAAAGAGGTCTATGCAATATATCGGCACTTTCATGCTGTAAATAAAGCTCAAATACAGTAATAAAGAGGGGTATCACGTAAAAAAAGTCTAAAAAGGCATATGTGGTTTATCTGTACCTTCATGCTGTACTAAATCTCAGATACATAGTAAGTAATCTCATAGTACATAGTAATAATTGTCAGATACATACATACTAAGTAAGACGAGTATATGGAAGAAAAAGTGCTATGGGGTTTATAAATTTTATTCTTGAAGCACCCGGTGACCCTTAAATATCTTGCCGGCCTCTCAGACCAACCAGTACAATTTTTAACGGGTTTTCAGGAGTGGAGGCAAATTTCTAGGACTTCCGGAATATGGCCAATTTTTTTTACATTGCCGTGCATATATTTTTTTTCTATTCAAAGTTGAGAAAAATTTTGGTGGTTGTGGTTTACGTTAACATTACTTAACGCGTTTCAAATCCTACACTATGTCAATATTACATTAAAATCAGCTTCTGGTCCAAAATAAGTTACATACACATTCTACATTTAACCCATCATTTCTAAGCTACATATGACGGAAAAAATGCAAAATAAAATATGAGAGTTAAAACCTCCTTTAATCCTTTAAGGCTACAAGTGCCCTGTAAGCTAAACTGGGGTACTTCGTTTTCTTTCAAATACTTTAACAAAATGCAGAACAGAATACTTGCAGGCATGGCTCTATTTCATAATACGGAGTGCTGAGTAAACACAATACAATTGCATCACGAAACAACAGAATGCATTATTCTTTACGGTCTGCCCTCTGCTATGGTGAGGTTAGCTAAAATGAATAAGCAGTCAGCAGATTTCTCTCTACCTAGTTGATCAATAAATGAAAGTAAATATTGCACACTGCATACTGCATAATAATATTGCTACACTTAATAATAATGACGTAAAAATTAAAATAAATTTTAAGGAAACAAACCTAAAATACAAGCGCCAGTCATTTAAACCCGGGAGGTGTCTTGCACGCAAAGCGAGACCAACAGGGTTCTAGTCCTATAAAATGAGCTTTGTGTGAGCAGAATGTAAATGTGTCACCAGATCAGGTCAGGTCAGTGTCAGGTTATAATAAATAAACGCCGTGTTTTCTCTCTAAATGGGAAGGGAAGAAACAGGGCACACATTTAAGGCTTTCCATGAATAACGTCTGTCAGAAAAAAAAAAAAAATATATATATATATATATATATATATATATATATATATATATATATATATATATATATATATAACATTGCACTCATTGAAGAATACTGAATAAGTTTATCTCTATGTTACTGTTTTCTCTGTAAGTAAGCGTAAGTAAGCACCGAAAGACCAGGTAGTAAATAAACCTTGACAATATTTGACTCAAAGAGTTCACTTCAAAGGTACTGAAGTACCATCGCCAGCTTGTACCTTTACAAGGAGATAGTCAGATATGGTAAAGCACTAGCAGCAGATATTTTAATACCTGCTGCTATTGCTTCTGCTATATCTGTTAAAATAGGCCTACATGTATGTGACGGCGATATGCATTTTCACCTGCCAGACCTGTAGCGTTTCCTGAGTGCAAACAACAAAGCAGGCTAATAGATATTATATTTATCACATCAAGCAAGTATATTTCGAACATTAGTGAAGTTGATTTTAGTGCAGACTTTAATACCCAAACATACAAAAAACGCACTGACTTCTGGATAACTGCCAATTTCAAACTATGTCAAGATAGCATTAAAGAAGGTTTAGGGGCGGTTTGGGACATCAGGAGGGGGGGGGGGGGGGTGATGATTTTTCAACAACATTGAGTCACAGTGTCTATGCGTTACATGTATTAGCTCAACAGGAAGTGGTTTACGTAGATAAAAGTTACTTACAATCCCACACTTTGTCACTTTTACATGAAATCAGAATTCCAAATTAGTTTAACATACAGAATCTACGAGTCATCAATTATTTTTTAGACCAAAGGTAATGGAAAATACAAAATAAAATGCAACAGTTAATTTTTCCCATTCCCTCAATGCTAAGAGCGCTTATCATTCAGGAATATGTTGGGTGTTTTCTTTCACATACCTTTACACTAAGCAAAACAGAAATACTAGAGGATACCTTTAAACGTGAGCTTAGAGTAAACGTAATTAATACACCTGCGTCACCAGACAAGAAGCTGCATTATTCTTTATGGTCTACTAGCTGCTATAGTGAGGGCACTTAGAAATAAGCAGTCGGCACAACTCACTTTACTTCAAGTAGAAGAATGAAGCAGAGAAAACATTACACGCTGCATTAAGCAAGCATTGTGTTAATAAACGATGCAAAAAGAAAAAAGAAACATTAATTCAAAATCACTTTATAATACAGTCTTTTAATTTGGGAAGTTTCTTTCACACAGAGCGAGTCAAACTGGGATTATAGTTCTATAAAATGAGCTGAGAATTAGTACATTACAACTGCACCAACAGACATTAAAAAATGTTTTATAACATGGCAGTTGTTTTATAATATGGTCATGTCGGCGTCAGGTTATAAACTATTGCGATGTGCGAGGAATGTTTATATTTATACATGTAGTAATAAAGATGGTTAAGCATTATTGGTACCTTCTTTTCATGAAACAATTGTAAATAAAATTGAAATATACAGTAATAAAGAGGGTTTTGTAGAATATCGACACTTTTATGTAGTAAATAAAACTCAAATTAAAGATTTAAAATAAAGCACTATATCAGTACCTTCATGTAGTTCAAATATATAGTAATAAAGACGCTGTGCACACTAAGTAAATTCCATAAATGAGTGTCGGACAGCATTAGCCATCAATCCTGCTGGTCAGCTGGTGGTGGCAGAACAGTGGTACAAAGTTAAGACATTCCAGTACTTACAGTAAATACTGATCCCATTGTACACTGATGAAAATATATCAAACTGCTGATGTTTGTAAAAATGTGTGTCATCATTGATAATGAGGATAGGTTGTAGATGTAGGACAGCTGTGATAGCAGAGTGGAAGACTATATATATATATATATATATATATATATATATATATATATATATATATATATATATATATATATATATATATGACAGTCTGAATAATGATAATTCATTTGGATCAAACTGAGTCATATATGGAAGTGTTCTGTTCACACATACTTGATGGAAGTCAAAAGTAAACAAAAAATGCCTTGGCATCTTTTGTGTGTGTTTTTTTCTCTACCTTTGAACAATTCTAAATAAGGGAACAGGCCAAATGACTCTTTGTACGAAATGCATTTGCCAGAAAAACTGGTATACAACGTACATTATTATAGAGTTAAAATGAATGTACACTTGTTACGAGGACAACGCAGTTTTTAGGTACCTTCATGTTGTAAATAAAACTCAAATATATAATTATAAAGATGAGTCAATGAAAGGAAAAAAAATGCTGTGGGTTTTTATAGCATTTTATTTGTGAAAATGACTTTTCAGTTCTTTGGACAGACTGAACACAATTTAAGAGGTTCAGAACCATTTTCAACATGTCTGGTCAGTTGGCGGGAAGAAATAAATGGGGCTAAGGATGCTGACAATGAGGCCACCGAGGAGGGAAAACGAGGGGGCAAAGAAAATATTTACGTATGCTAATAAGGAAAATATGTAGTGAAATGTATGTATGGAATTGAAAGAGGACCGTGTTCAGCAACAATGTGGGGGACAACGTATTATACGCTGAGGCCACCTCTGAGAAGAGAAAAGGCATTTAACTGTTAAATATGATCAGAAACTGTGCTTGTCCTCTGATATGTCCATCAATATGTTGTTTACATATACTGTACATGTACATTGCGTGTTTAAAAACCCGAACTATGTCACTATGACATTCAATTGGATTCTTCTAATCCAAAATAAATTACTTCATTATTATTCATCGAGTGCACCATTTCTTAGCTACATATGACAGGAAATGCAAATAAATTATGAGAGTTAAAACTTTCTTGAGGCTAGAAGCCCCTGTCAGGTAAACAGGCTTACTTTGGTTGTTTACTTTCACATACTTAAAAAAAGAGCAGAAAAGGCACACCTGTAGACATGTCTCTATTTCATAATCCTAAGCGCAAAGTAAACTCAATACAACTGTGTCAGCATACAACAGACTTGATTATTCTTAATCGACTGCTCTTTGCTATGGTAAGGTATCCATAAATATATAAAGAGTCATCAGATTTCCCTCTTCCTAGTAGATCAATAACAGAGTAAAAATTGCACACTGCGTACTGCATGAAGTAAGTGCTTAGTACAATAATAGCAACACAAAAATAAAAATTTAGAAACCACTCTAAAATACAAGTTCAAGCCATTTAACTTTGAGAGGTGTATTTCACTCATAGCTAACCAAAAATGATCTTTCTTTATATAAAATGAGCTTAGAGTGAGCACAATGCAATTGCGTTACCAGACAAAAAAAATTCAGACGACGTATTTTTCTTTACCTTAGGGGAATTTAAAAGTGAACAAAAGATACATGACACCCATTTTAGGCTTTGCATAAAATACATTTCCCACAAAATCTGATATATAACAAATGATATGTAATATAAGTGTCACAAGCCAGATCCCAATTGGGTTTTGCATTGTTAACCGAATAATGAGCTAGCAGTTGGTTTGCAAGGCTTGTGTAACTTTATTGTGAATGTTATATCATATTAAACTTACAGGACTGGCAAATGTAATTAAGTTTTAAAACATTTGATGGGGATGATTTTTGAATATTTTTAAAGAAAAAGCTTTACATTGATAAAACAAGGTAAACAGGGGTGCTTTTACTGTTTTCTTTAACATACTTACACAAAAAGCAGAAAAGCCACCGCAAGTAAAAAACAAAACAACTGTGTCAGCAAACAACAGACTGCATTGTTCTACATCTATATCTACTGCTCTTTGCTGTGGTGAGGTCATCTTGAATAGATAAAGAGTTGACCGATTTCTCTCTACCTAATAGATCAATAAACCAAAGTAATAATTTCACACTACATTCAACATAAAGTTGGTATTATCTTAATTTATAACAAAGCAAATAAAAAGGTAATAAATCACTCTATAATTCAACTTTCAGACATTTTTTTTTGGGGGGGGGTGGGGGAGGTTTATATCACACAAAGCGAAACGTTGATAACTGTAAAATGAGCTTACAGTGAACACAATGTAATTGCGTCACCAGACAAACAAAAACTGTTCTATAACGTGGTGGTTGCCATGGTTGCCATGGTCAGGTCAGATTCAAGTAATAAACAGACGCCGTGTTTTTCTTTATCTTTGTACAGTTCTAAAAGGGAACAGAAGAAAGAGGACACACATTTAAGGCTTTGCATGAAAAAAACTCTGCCAGTAAAACTGATATTTAGTATTGCGCTCTTTGCAGAATACTGATTAACCGGTGGTATATATTTAGGTTGCTGTTGTGATCTTTGTAAATAAGCGCTGCAGAGCCAGGAAGTAAAAAGGAATCCTTGGCACAATATGACTCAGTGACTCCTCAGCAAAGGTACTTAAACCAGCTTTCTACACTTGTACAGTTCCAAAAAGAAAGTAAGATATGGCAGAAGCATTAGTAGCAGCTATTACAGATAACTTCTTGACATGTAGCATCTGTTGTGACGAGTATGAGGACCCTCGTGTGTCAAGATCGCACAAAATTGCTTACTGGTCGAAATTCATGGTTCATAAAAAAAAAAAAAAAACTCCAGACGGCCGATTTAAAGATCGTTTGAAATTTAAGAGCCGTTCGAAATTCATGGCACATTACTGAATGTATTTATATATGATGGCCCAAAGATAAGTTTTGTGTGGTGTTTTGGTTTTGTATTTTTGTATAGTTCGCTCTTGCTCTAGACCTATCCATTTTGGATTTTTTGTGTGTGGCCTGCTTAAGGCACTGAAAAAAAAAAAAAAAAAAAAAAAAAAAGAGGGCGAACGCTGCCATTTGGCACAGTTTAGAACTATTATTCAACAGGTCAAAATTCTAATTTCAAGAGGGGACCATTGGTGTAATATTTTTTTCAGAAAACCGGATCCCCCCAAATCTGCCTCTGTACTGCAAAACCGCTTTCTGTTACAAGAAATGAAAACCAAGCTTGCTCTCTTATTTAATACACAATGCCATGCTTACAATCTATATACATGTTTAGAAATAAAATATATGAACATACCAGAGTTCTGAGAGAAAATTATGGAGTGAAGGAAAAGTGAGAATTCACCGCTCGTTTTTGGACATAAAAATTTGAAATATGAACTAATTTAAGCAAATTTAAAAGGAACACAATTGGCTCATGTTAAAGTATTTTTCTCATGCAAATCTTCCACCTACTTTGCTCTTTGTTACTAGAAGTCAGAAATACTCAAAATCGAGCTGTAAAAAAGTTCACAATCCTCCTAAATGAAAAAGTCATTTCCCAAAAAAGTACATTCAATTGCAATTGTTAGCCTTTCAATAAATTTTTCTTAAATTAAATCCACCAAACATTTATAAACATAGAAGTAAAACATTCTGTCAATTTATTGCAATATTGCAATAAATTTATACAACAGACAAAAAATTGCTAATTTTCACATTTTTATTTGATCTACTGTTGCTGTGACATAATATGACAACATTTTACTATGAATATTGAAATTATATATGAAGAAATTAGAATTCCACTTTTCATAAGTTTAATCTTCTGCAATGGCAGGATTTATAGAATAAGTATAAAACAACCACTGTTTACACAGAAAAATATACCAACCACTGCAGCCAGTGTTTGAATAAGGAAACAACTATACATATTGTCACTGAGTGAAGTGAAGTGTCACAAAAATTCTTCAAATAGACTGAAAATAAATGATAAGTAAAATTAAGGCAGTAAAATTGATCAATTTTGGTACAAAAAATAGTGATTCCAGTGGTTTATCGACCTGAAGACTATGTCCCCTATGAAGGTCACTTAGGGGAGAGGGTCACTATGGGGGTGGGTAACCGGGGGGGGGGGTGTCACAAAAACTGTAGGCTACATTCAACCACATTTATAAATAACTTCTACACTGACATTACATTCAATTCAAATTCAGTTCTGGTCTCCCAAAAATTCATTCGATTTTAAGCAAAAGTTGTTTTGGTCAGTAATGAGCATCAGCTTTCATACTTAGAAATACACTGCAGGTCCCAATATTGGACTTGTTTTAAGAAATAGTGACTATCAATATCCAGATTTCTATGTTTCCAGGTCAGGATATCCATGTATCCAGGTTAGGATATCCATATATCCAAGTCAATGTATCCATGTATCCAAGCCATTATATATCCATGTCAGGATATCCATCTATCCATGTCAATATATCCATGTATCCAAGTTAGGATATCCATGTATCCATGTCAATATATCCAAGTATCCAGATCAGTAGATACAATATAGGCCTTGCCTGAAGAGTTCTATCTGTCATAGATATTGGATAGAACAACTTCAACAGGAAACAATCAATGAACAAGTGCTTTCTGTGTGTTAGGTGTTTCTGATACTTAAAGCTTGCTCAAGTTCTATTCTTCTTTGCTGTACCTGAAAAACATTGGATAAAATATTAATCTCAATTTGACCCTGGCAAGACTAAAAACATAATTAATAGATTATGTCAATACAACTAGTAGAAAGATAGCTGCACTACCATAAAACACATCTTAATACAGTAATGTTGTTACAAACTGATATAATACTTGTACAGTATTTCATCATCTACGTACAATAAAATAGGTCATTATTTGCTGTGTGTACATTTATAGGTGCATACTTGAGCATTTGGCAGAGTAAGAGCCCACTTAACTTGCCACACATTATGAAACACCTAAAGTAATAGGCCAGGTCACCAAGCACTCACCTTGCCATAGAAGTATCTACAGTATTGGACAGTGTCACTCACCTTGCCATAGAAGTATCTACAGACAGCCTCTTGTGCCCAGGGTTGGTAGTAGTAGTTGGTGTGTCTCTCCTCCTCTGGGTTACCTGCCACATCTGTCATTGTCTGGAACATACACCCACACATACATTAACAAATAGTATCATACATTTACCTACAGCATCATCATGAATACACGCACACATACATTAACATACAGTACTATGAATACAAACACATTACCATACATGCACCGTTAACACAAGCACACAAATATTAAAATGCAATGCCATGAATACATGCACACATACATTTACATTCAGTCTCTGGATCACGCACAAATACATTACCATATAGTACCAATAACACACACACACACACACACATACACATTAACTTGCAGTGTCATAAATGAACACAAATGAATACAACAAAGAATTATTTAAGAAAGTTATATAAGCACTGTAAGCTTTCTATAACAAGTGTCCAGTACACACTGATGACTTCATGAAGAGTAGTTATATCATCTATAGGTTGAGAAATGTTACACTTTGCATGTACATACACGCACACACACACACACAGTGCGATATAGGGTAGATTATCTTCAGATCACTGGTCTGAGAGACCTGTCACTTGTTTATAAACACACACACACACACACACACACACACACACAGAGGTCAGATACAGGATAGATTACCTTCAGATCTCGGGTCTGGGAGACCAGCCAGTTGTTTATAAACACACACACACAGGTCAGATATAGGGTAGGTTACCTTGAGATCTCGGGTCTGGGAGACCAGCCAGTTGTTTATAAACACACACACACACACACACACACATACACACAGTGTGATATAAGATATTATGTTACCTTGAGATCTCGGGTCTGAGAGACCAGCCAGTTGTTTATAAACTCCTGTGGATCCTTGGCAAAGCTGAGAAGAAACTCTCTGTTGGTCTTCAGCTGGTTGATTGTTTCTACAGTCTCATGGATCTGAAATGACAAGACACTTTACTAAATACACCACAGAAGTCCAACAGAATGAGTCCAATAAAGAGTCCATTATGATTTATACATGAAGTGTGTCCTAGGGGAGTGGCATAAATGGTACCATAGAGTCAAAGTTGATTCCTTCAGAATCCCATACTAAATTTCAGTATGGGATTTCAAGAGTTGTAAATATCAATGGGCCCCAAAATGCCTCTGATTATTGATGCAAAAATTTGACACAGATGGAAAGGGGGGGGGGGGGGGCATAATGGCAGTTTTCTATTTTTCTGCACTTGGTCAGAAAGACACTTTTTTATAACACCTTCAGCCTCGATCCACTCATGATGATGGTTTCATTAGTTTGATGGTGAAACATTGGAGGGGAGATAAAATCTATTTTAATTTTAGCTGTAGCTTGAAGAAACTAACACCGACACCTACAGAAATAGCAAGAAACAGAAGTCACAGCATTGTGATAATATAAATAAATGTATAGAGGAATATTCCACAAGTCTCTACCTACCTTATCATTGAGTTGTTGTATTTCTTGTTGACTCTGAGAGGAGAGCAGGAAGGACTGCATCTGTTCCTTGAGGGTGTCATCCTGAAACAGATATCAATTTTTATTTCATCACACATTATTCAGCTTGTTAAAAGGGAAATTTTATGGATGACAGAAAGCACTTTTCACATTATCACTACTCTACCCAGCTTGTTTATCAAGATGATTCTCTATGTAAATGGCAAGGATAAATAGGACCATATCACATATCCCACCACAGGAGTAATAACAAGTGGGAGGAGGAGCATTAAGGTTTAACATCAGGTAAGGTACTCACTCCCTTGAACAAAAACATTAAAATACCACAATTCTAGCAAAAATCACTGACAGCTTTCAGTGGTGAACTAGTCCATGTGAGAACTTAGACTGAACAAAGTCATCAACAGGATTTTATACTGGTAAACTAATATTCATGCATATTTTTCATATGAAGATAAAACTGTCAATGTACTCACCACCTCCACATCAATATCATAACAGGCTGTTTTCTTGGCAGCATCTGGACCTTCCACTCTGAAATATCACAAATTAAACACATGATAGTAATAGAGATTTGAATAATTATCCACGTAGAAACAGAAAAATGGAAAAGCATAATGTGCTCTATACTTAAGTACTATCCCTCCCACTATGTTTTATTGCAATCAGGGTGGCTAGGTTGGGGACAGCATGTGAATTTTCACTGTTTTATTATTTTTTTAATAATTAGTTTTGTCAAAGGAGACAATCACTAAAATTTAGGAAAGGTTGAAAAATAGTCTAAAATGTCAGAGTTGAAAAATAATCTAAAATGTCAGATCATAAGTACAGCACAGTTAATACATATCTACCAAACAGACACACATATTAATAAATAAATTCCTGGTTATATTCAAACAATATTTTGAAATGATCCCAATTATATAAAGAGTGGAGACAAAACCATGCAAAAACCACAGAAAATAGTGTGACCAAGATACTAGAATATCAAATTCTTTCAAAAACTATTTCTTTATCTAAGCATCAGAAATTGAAAACATACATGACCAGCTAATATTGGAGTACATGAAATTTCCATGCATAGCTAGGAAGTGCAAAACTTAAAGAATTTAGTAAGTATCAAACAAGCTAGTGTGAGTTATAAATGGGCAAATAAAATGAATTAATGCAAAGCAAGCAAAAGTAATAGGTTAATTTCATGACAAGGAAAGCTAAACAATGAGCGACAACTGCTGTTGTTAACACATACTGCCATCATTGTATTAACACATTCTGTTTTTCTTAACTAAAATGGTATTTCACAAAAATTCACTAATTAAAAAAAAAAAAAAAAAAAAAAAAAGACACACTTCACACTGACTTCTCATTAAAACAGATTTAAAAATAAAATTATAAGTGTAAAAATCTTATCAAAATGTCCCCAAAATCCATTAAAAGATAAAAATCAAACTCCTTGAATTTGAGCACTGCAAAAAGACTAAATAAAACTGAAATCTATATAAGGCATAGGTAGCAATTTTGGTATCAATACAGTCAGTTTTCTGACTCAATCACTTTACAGGACTAAAATATTTATGACACCAAATCAAAATTTGAAACTTGTAAAACATAATTTAATTTTTAAAACATAATTTTAATTTTCTCAAATTTTTAGCTGTTTAATGACCCAAATCTGCCATCAAGGCTTAAAATGCCCAGATAAGATGGTGATAAAATGTGAGTTAAAAGATATCTAAAGACAAAGTTTCAAATAACAGTAAAACTGCCACTGAACAATATAAGAAATTTAGAAATTTGAACCCAAAATGGCCACCTGTGCGTGCTAAGGTTTGCCACCACTTACTTGGTACTGCCTGAAGCTGGGGAGTGGAGGCTAGAAGGAAACGGAAAACACATTCTCAAACATTGACGCCTGTTATTACAATATAATCCAAATTGGGGCACATTAAGGAGCTTTATATCACATTCTGTGGTATGATAAAACTTGGTGTAAGGGGGGTCAGCTTTCCAAACACTGACATGATAGTGCGTAATATGGCATAAATTCTGTTTTAAAGGAAAGTTTGTTTTATTTTTAATAGAGCCAAACACAAGTCTTCTTTTTTTTTTTTATTAAAATTGCTTTGCTTGTATTTTTGGGGAAATGCTGTTCAATTAAATCACAATAAATCACAATCAAGAACACTTGTGAAAAGAACCTTTAAAGAACTACCACAATGAAGGGAGACACTGAAATAAAGCACAGCTTGAATAAAAAATAGATTTATACACAAACCAACAGTACTTTTATCAAAAGAAAATAAAACACCTATTTAACTGGTGACTATAATTACAACTGTGTTACCATGGCAACTCTTAATAAGACTGATGTTTAACAGTCACTGTGAAATTCTGACAAAACTGAAATTGTTAGTGAAGCAATAAAAGCAGCAACTGAATATAAAAGCTGCATTTTACAGTGGGTACAATACAGTTATGGACATTGCATTATCTATAAATTAAGAGTTGGTTTTATAAATATTATAATAATTGCCAGTATATACTGATGAAGCTTTTATGGTATTTATCTTATCAACCACAGAATAAACAAAGCTATGGAGGTATATTTGCAATTTTGATATAAGAAAGCACTTAAATATAATATAAAGCAATATGGGCAGTTATCATTGACAATAAAACAACTGTTTCGGCTTTAAACAATGCCTACAAAATAATACAAATGAAAAATGTCAAACTGAAATGGACAATCTTAATCAATGGCATTGCCTTTGATATGTGACCTAATTTGATGCCAAAGACATGTGACCTAGTTACTGATGACCTAATTAGAAGATGACCTAGTTACTGATGACCTAATTAGAATCTGACCTAGATACTTACAGAATCACATGGTTGATAACAATGGGGTCAGGAGGCATGAGCAGGGCGTGCAGTCTCTGGGGTATCTCTGAAAACTTCATCCTCTGACACTGAAAGATCTGGAAAGTTGAAATAAAAATAGAAATATTGTCTGAGTTAAGAGGAGAAAAAATTTTAGCAAATGATTCACAAATTCTCTTCGATTGATTAATCAAGTAATGCTGACTGCATTTTTCTTCTTAATAATATGAAAAACAAAAGACAAATAAAATTCATAAAGTACTTAATTTCTAAATTAAACAAATGCTCTTATTTTTCTCTCTGACAACCAATTTTGTTACACACATACACACACTAATGATGGCACACATGCAAACACTCATATATACACAAACATGCATGCCCATGCACGATCACGCACGTACTGTACCTGGTGCAGATATTTGTCACAGTTAATGTATTCTCTCTCATGTTTGTCCTGCAGTTTGTGTGTCTTAATATACTGCCACAGAGCATTGATAATAACTGGTCTTGTCTGTGTGTGGACACCCAATAGTCTAGCTAGTCTGGGGTCTAACTTAAACTGCATGGGCTGAAATGATAACAATATATATATCCATTTTATATGATAATAACTGGTGCAGTGTGCGTGTGGTCAACGGTTCCTTTCTGTTTGTTTTTTTATATGTATTTTTTTTTTAATTTAGAGTTCAGATTTTTATATCACAAATAAAGACTGACTTTCACATATACATATTTATACGTGTAGCCATTTGGCAATAGACCAGGTATCCAGTCCATTAACCTGGTGAAAGGTCTCAAATGACTAATAATTATACAAAACATACCTGGTAATCCAGCATTAGGAGCACCGTACACTTGACATTTTTGTCTCCAGTCCTCTTCACTTGGAAACCATCAGTCTCATTAGTGGTGGGAGTCCTATGCCACTGATAATATATATCCATATTATATGATAATAACTAGTGCAGTGTGCGTGTGGTCAACGGTTCCTTTCTGTTTGTTTTTTTATATGTATTTTTTTAAATTTAGAGTTCAGATATTTATATCACAAATAAAGACTGATTTTCACATATACATATTCATACATGTAGCCAATTGGCAACAGATCAGGTGTCCAGACCACTAACCTGGTGAAAGGTCTCAAATGACTAATAATTATACAAAACATACCTGGTAATCCAGCATTAGGAGCACCGTACACTTGACGTTCTTGTCTCCAGTCCTCTTCACTTGGAAACCATCAGTCTCATTAGTGGTGGGGGTCCTGTGCCACTGAAATAACATTATGACAATTGATTCATTAGACTTGAGCAATTTTTTTTTTAATTTCTAAATATTTTAATATTTGTTTTGAGGGGATGTATTCAGAACTGATTTAAAAATCACCAAGTTACTTAATTCCCCAGAGAAAGCCCAAGCCTGATTTGTACAGCTGAGATAATAGAAATCAACTGAGATAATCTCAAGCTAGGCTGCCAATGTGATAATGACCAAGGCCAAAAAATGTGCTAACGCTCCACTTTGTATACGTACACACATTTTTAATATTAATGTTCTCTCCACAACATAAAATAAACAACAAATGACAAAAAGAAATACTTCCTTAAAATTCATTCGGACACTATACAATACCTACCTCTACCAAATGATTATCTGGACCATACAAATCTTTGTCCAGCTCTATCACCAAACTTTTGAAGAAAGTGGAGAACTTCCTCTTGGCTTGAGGAGGGTTGGTAGTCTTGGAAATACTCTAGAGAAAAACAATAACTGAACTTTGAATTCTTTGAAAAATGAAAGTATCATATTTTTTTGAGATTATAAAATTAACAGAAGAACAGATACTTTGGAATTATAAATAAATAAACAAATTAATAAATAAATCATGTTCACAAATGCTGTTGCAGTAAGTGTCTCACTGTTATTAAAGAAATAAAAAATAAATTTAAAAACTTGATATTTTATATTATATAAATAAGAGGAGAAGTAAATAATTTCTAAACAGAATAAATCAACTATATCAATTTTATTCCTCACATAGCTCTCTCTTTCCTTAGCTTCTTTCTAATTAAATCTATATCTATTGCACTTTCTAAATTATTTGAAGGGGGTCCACGGATACAAAGCTCACACCCCAGGGGGTTTCAGACCTGCTAAAGGGCCCCTGGAAAATTTTGGTATTTTAGTGGGCAAGCAGTGCCTTTTGTTACTGTTTAAAACTATGATTCATCCAGTCAAAATTCTAATTTCAAGAGGGGGCCATTGGCGTAATTTTTTTCCCAGAAATTGAAGGGGGAGGGGGGGGGGTGTGTCAGGACCCACCACTGGTCAATAGAAACCCAGTACTTACATCCTCCAGTAGCCGTCCCTCTATCCTCAGCTCCCAGGAAGGTATCGTCTCTTCGCCCTCCTCTTCAACTTTGGAAGGGTAGAATGTGTTGGAGATGAAGATACGCAGCTTACGCTTTTGCTGGAAGAACAGAATAAAACACAACTACACACACTGGACAATAGAAGTGTCACCCCTACTGAGCCAATACTATGGGGGAGATAAATGACTGTGGAATGATATGCTCCTGGTATCATTTTATTAAAATCAAATTTCACAAAAAAACACAAAATGAGAACAAAATATACATTCTACCAAAATATGCAGTTTCAAGTCCAAAATTAGTACTTAGTGGCATAGCAACGTGACCTAATAATAGGTGCCAGTCTACCAAGGTTTCATATAATTGTCTGATGCGTTCAGGGCTTATGCTGGCCCAAGCATGAAACACTGAATATAACAGAGTTTCTCTGCTGGTTAGACGGGCATTTGTAAAAAGTTTTGACATATCATTCCACACATTTTCTATTATGTTTGCATCCGGACTCTGGGCAGACCATATCACCCTGTGAATGTCCTGTTGGTCAAACCAATAATCAACTGCTCTGGGCCTGTGACAAGGAGCATTGTCATCCTGGTGAACAAATGGATAATTCCTGTCACCAAACATGTTAGTAATAGATGGTAGCAAGCCTGACTCCAAAACATCGATATGTTTCTAGTGATTCATGTTTCCATTAACCACTATCGATTCGCCCAAGCCATGGATGCTGATGCAGCCCCACACCATGATGAATATGCTGCTCCGGGTTCGAAAATTCAGTGCATGTGGTTCAAATGCTTTACCAGCAGTTTGCCAGCATAGTACCCGCCTGTCATCAGAGGTCAGACCAAAGCGACACTCATCAGTAAAATATATAATACCAATTGTCATGAACTGTCCAGTTCCAGATCCTGTTAACCCTAGTATACTCTACGTTGCATGTTTTGTAACGATATAAGAGGTTTCAGTCTTGCTACCCTGCTGTACACTCTCTGAGCATGTAACCGACGCCTAGCAATTTTTACAGACACATTCTTATGTGTGAAATTGTTCCACTGTGTTGTCAACTGACAAGCAGTGTCGAACTTTGACAACCTGGACATCAAAATCAGTCGTCGGTCTTCACGGCCAGTATTTTTTCTTGGACAACCCATCAAAGGCAATTTGTCTCTTGATCCAGTGTTTCTATACCGAGACCAGACCCTCTGCACAGTTCTGACTGAACAATTCAATTGTATCGATATTCTGACAATGCTTATATTCCGCCTCTTCAGGTTAATAACTTGCACCTATAACCGTTAGATAATTGCCTGTATCTTGCCATATTGGAGGAAGACAGGAATAACATTTGCTGTACATGTACAAGACCAACAATACAATTCCATGGTATAGCGGTTTTATACTCATTAGTTACATTATAAGTAGACCAGGCATTATAAGTACCCAAGATCTGCCTACTTTTATTACTCTGAGTTATGGGGTGACACTTCTTTTGTCCAGTGTGTGTAGACAACAAAGCTAACAAATGAACAGACACATAACAATGAAAAAACTAATTCGATTAACATACACAGGTGAAACCTAGTTAAATATAAACAGACAAATGTTGTAGATGGAGATAAGCCGCTACTGAAAGAAAAATAGAAAAAATGTATAACAATATAAATAATTTAAACTAGAAAAAACCCTCAGAGCCCCGATCTCCTACATGTGTAAGAGGTCAGGTCACTTTACAGCTGATCAGTTTTCTTTCTATGCACTGATTAGGTCACCAACCAATGTCTTCCATTGTTTAGATTTTGGTCTATTTACTTAGCATAACTGGAAGTGGTCATGCCACTGCTTGAAAATAATATATCAAAGACCTAATTATCGCTACTTGTGTCTCAGTGGTAACTTGTATCCTCTCGGAAATCAAATCATTAGTGAAAATATAATCAAAATCTGAATACAAAAAAGAAAAAAAAACCTAACCTGCTTTTCGGTGGTAATAGAGTATATGGAGATAGAGAGGGCTAGGTCATGCCATATCAACTCATCCAGAGACAAATCACAGCACCTCAAGCATATGAAGTAAGGCTACTGGTATAAAAAGGATGGATAAACAACATGAAGATAAATAACAAAAAGCTTACATAGCGTGATACAGTAGTCCCTCAGAATTGAAATGGGCAACTGCCTCCTTTTAAGTCTTTCTGGTATTGCAAGGTACACAGTGTTCCCTATAATATTTCCATATATAAAGTCACACAGGAAGCACCTGTCACCTGAACAGGGGCATACTGGGTTCTTTCTTTCACATATAGCAGAACAGAAATCATATGTACACGCTTTGTTGAACTTATTTCTTTAACCCGAGCTTAGAGGAAACACAATACATCTGTGTCGCCAAACAAGAGACTTCATTATTATTTCAGTCTGCTCTTTGCCACAGTGAGGTCAGCTTATGAAATAGACAATTAACTTATTACAAACTGCATAAAACAGGTATTATGTGTAACAATAACAAAACAAAAATAAAGAAACTTTTTTCAAAAGCGCCCTTTATTAAATACTAGTGTCAGCCACTTATACTGGAGAGGTCTCTTTCAAACAAAGCCAAACATAATTGGCTCCATTTGTAAAAAATAAGCTTAAGAGTAAGCTTCATACATCTGCCCCACCTGACAACATAAACTGTGTCGTAACCCAGCAGATGCTTGGGTTAGGTCAGCGTCAGGTTATAAACAGACGCAATAGTTTTCTCTACTTTGGAGCAGTTGTAAAAGAGAGAAGGAGAAACAGGACACATATTTCAGGGAATGCACAAATCTAAAGTGATTTGAGAGAAAAAACTGACATGACAGTAAGCCAGTTAAAGTAAACACTGAGGTATTAGTGTCATCAAAGCTGCAGCGCCAGGATAAAAATAGGAAAATAATATTTCGTTGACACTTCTTAAAATTGAGTGATTCAATCCCAAAGGCACCACAACCAGCTTTCTACACCTTGTAAACTAACAAAGAGACAATCAGATATGGCACAAGCAGCAAATATCAAAGAGAATATATTGACATGTAGCATCTGTCTGGGAGAGTATAAGGATCCCCGTGTGCTGCCTTGCTACCATACATTTTGCTATGGTTGTATATCTGATCATGCCCAAAGATCTCTTACTCCAAACCAGACATTTACTTGTCCAATTTGTAGAGAAGAGACCCAGATTCCAGCTGGTGGACTAAATCAACTGAAAAAGAACTTGGTCTTTGGCAAGGCCAAGGATATCATAACCCAGCAGCAAGTAGACAAACCGGTATTAGAAGAAGAACAGACCAATGCAGCAGCAGTGACACAGGTAATTGCAAAGACGACCACCCGTTGCGGGAAACATCCTAATAAAGAAGTAAAATACTACTGTGAAGATGACGATACTGTTATATGTGGCCAGTGTATAGTAACAGAACATAGTGGACATCGCATTTCATCAGTTGACAAAGTTGCAGAAATCAACAGAGAAAACCTCCTAGGTGATCTAGCTAAAACCATGAAGACTGCGAACAGGTTTGAAGCTGCAGTTGCCAAGGAAACAGCCAATGAAATAGAGGACTCTCGTATCAGGGAAGTCATTATCAATGAGATTGAAAACCAAGCCCAGCAAATTGTTCGGTTGCTAAATGAGAGGAAGGAAATATTGATATCTGAAGTGAATTCCGCTTATGACGTCAGAAAGAAGCAGAATGAGGCAAACAAGGACATTCTTGAACTCCACCATGGCTCCTTGCAAGGTGCCTGTGACTTTGCCCAACAACTGGTTACAAATGGCACTGACTCTGATATCATGGTTCACGCAAAAGCTTTGAGAGACAGATTGAAAATAATGGAGCAAACCCATCTCCCAACTCCAGACACACCAGCACAGATATCCTACAGTCCTGGTGAGATATTTGCTGAAGGACTGGAAGCCATGTTAGGGCAGGTGGCGGTGCAGCCACAAACTCCATTGGCCGGAACGTATCCAAGGTCTCCACCACATTCTCCCGGACTGGAAGCCATGTTTGGACAGGTGACAGTACAGACACAACCTCCATTGGCTGGACAGGGAACAATTCCAAAATCAAGACCCTGCCCTCCTGTTTTCTTGGAGAACGCAAAATGTGTAAATTCCTTCAATGCTAAGCTGAAAGATGATAGAGTAATGTACATTTCTGGGGTAGCCACAGATGGAGAGAAAGTGTTTGTTGTAGATAATGGAGATGAAAGAACAAAAACATTCACGCATACTGGAGAGTTTAAATATGACATTAAACCTAACAGACCCTTTGATGTGGCTGTGTCACAGACTGGTCGCCTGTATATAACATCATGGGCTGACAAATGTGTGAAAGTCTTCTCCACCAGAGGTCAGCAGGTGACAACCATGGGCCAGGAGAAGCCATGTGGTATTACAGTGAACAGACAGGGTCATGTGATGGTTTGTGACATGGAAAAGAAAGCCATCTTCACATTCCACGCAGACAGTGGACAGTTCATGAACACTATTCCACTCAGTATGTGTGCAGGCCCAATGCACATAGCAGTGAACAGTTTGAATGATAACATTGTGATATCAGATAGGGATAACCACTGTGTACATGTGCTGTCACCTGGTGGTGATCAGCTGTACCAGTATGGTACACGAGGCAGTGGTGTTGGTCAGCTAAGGGAACCACATGGAGTGTGTACAGACAGCTACGGTCACATCTTCGTTGCTGATTTTCTTAACCACAGGGTAGTGGTGCTGAGTCCACAGGGACAGTTTATCAGATATATTGCCACTCAGTCTGACGGGTTGAAGCGTCCAACAGCATTAGCCATCAACCCTGGCGGCCAGCTGGTGGTAGCAGAACAGTGGGGCAAGGTTAAGACATTTCAGTACTTACAGTAAATACTGATCACTTTGTGAAAATGGTGAAAATACATCTAATTGCTGATCAAACTTTGTGTTATCACTGATAATGAGGATAACAGGTTGTAGAAACCAGAACATGGGTTTGTCTTATGGACAGCTAATATAGCAGAGTGGAAGAAAAACTTTATTCAATTTAATATATCATAATACTGTTTACAATTATACATGTAT